TTTAATAGCATGGCAAGAATCTAAGGATAACATAACACGTTCTGTAGAACCAAGAATCTCAGGATAATAAGTACATTCTTCAGAATCAGGCGTGTACATGGTCAAATAAAGGAAGCTTTTAGAATCACCGTCTCAACTGTGGTTAACTATGGCTAAGCGCTGCATATCTTCCACTAACATCCTCATTTCATTTCTTAAAATATTATGAAATAAAAAAAAATATTATGAAATATTGTTGCATACAAGAGTATCTGTGATACAATCTTTAAAGCACAACAAAGAGTGAACCTACTGTCCAACTTAAGAAACAGAACGTCATTGAATCCCATCTCTCTGGAATACAGTGCTGTTTATCACTCCCATGCTTTTCTGTATAGTTTTATTAAATTTATAACTCTAAGCAATATATTCATAAGTTGGGTGTTTGAACTTTATATACATGATGTCTATATTGTATGCATTCTTTTGCAGCTTATTTTTCACTCAACATTATGAAATTCACCCATGATGATGTGTACAGCTCCAATTTAGCCATTTTTCACTTCTGTAGAGTGTTCCATTGTATAAATAAATCACAATTTATCATTTTTCCAGGTGATCAATATTTTCTCCCCAGATTTTTACTACTTTGAACATTTTTGTACATGCCTGTCACATATCTGCAGGTTTTCTTTGGGAATGTACCCCAGGAGCCGAGCTGTTCATCAGGTTGTGATTTTATACATATGTATGTGCACACACGTGCACACTTACATTCAATATGTTGTTCGATATGCTATATACTGCATATGTAATACATATTACAAACGTATAGCTCTGCAATTCCAAGAGTGCTTGCCACTTCACACTCCAAGTGCATAAACCACATCATCTTTTAATTTTGCACCCACCTAATGAGTCTACAAACGCTGTCTCCGTATGGTTCCAGTTTGCATTTCCCTGGGCACCCTCTCACCCACTGATTAGCCACTTGCATTCTGTCCTGCACGAGACGCCTAGGCCTTCAGCCCTCTGGGCTGTGTTCAGTCGGACGCTCAGGAGTCCTCTGTACACTCTATACACTAATCATGACTGAAAGTGAGGCATTCATCTCCATGTTGGACACTTACCTTTTCTTTGTGCTCTTTTTATTAAAAGTTCTAAATTTTACGACAAATTTATTAATCTTTCCTTAGACACATTGTGCTATTGATACCTGAAATCTTTCCTATTTAGAGCCTCAAAAATACTCCTCCATATTTTGGTTTTAAATGTTTAAAATTTCATCCTTCTCCATTTAAGTCTTAAATCCAACTGAATCGGAGGTTTTGGTACAGCAGGAAGAACCCCGTTTTTCCCTTTATATGCATGACCACCGTCCTGACACAACTGGCTGGCCACCCGTGCTCCCGCCGCTGGTCTGTAATGCCCGCTCTGTCTCATGCCAAGTTGCCACGCGCTGTGGCCTGTGTGCCCTCCGCCCGCCGCACCAGCCTGGGCCGCCCCTGCCCGTGGCAGTGCCTTACGGGCGGGCTCGGTGGCTTAGAAGGGAAGGCAGCTCCCCCGCCTCACCTTTCTCCATTTTCAAGAACATTTTGGCTCTTCACGGTTCTTTGCTTTCCCCTATGATTTTATCACAAATCTGTGAAGCTCCATGAAAAAATCCTGTTGGGATTTTGAATGAAATTGCATTAAATCTAGAGAGAAGTAAGATCCTTAAGATAGACTCTAATCCATGAACTTCTTATCCACCTACTTACTTCAATCTTCATTTTTTATTATTTTGTCTCATAAGTTTTAAGCACTTTTCTTCATAAACATCTTACATCTGTAAGATTTTACTCCACTTCTTGCTGCTACTATAAATGGTATCTTATTCACTATTCTATGTTTTGCCGGTATATAGAAATGCAATTGCAAACTTGCTCAGTTCTCCTATTATTCATCTGTAGATTCCTCTGCTTTGCACCTACCCAGGCGAACAGGAAGTCGTCTTTCCTGCTTTCTCTATTTGCGTCCATTGGTGTTTAACAAACCACCTCGCCTCGGTGGCTTGAACCCCCATTCTCCTCCTGCCCGCGCCTCCCGCGGTTGCTGTCGGGGCGCCGGCCTGGCCGCACTCCTTTCCGGAGCCTTGGGGCCCCTCCGGGCTCACGCGATTGGTCGGGGAGCTCAGTGGTCGGAGGCCGCAGAGCTGAGGCCCCGGTCTGGTTGCCGGCCGTCGGCCGAGGGCTGTTCTCGGCCCCGGGGTTCCCGGGCGCCCCTTGCCGTGTGGCCCGTTACTCCTTCAAAGCCAGGAGAAGGCTCCCCGTCTCCCCCAGGGTAAGGTTGGAAGGACACGTGGTCCGACTTCTCGTCTTGGAGACGCTTCAATGACTCACCACCAAGTGTTTGCTGTAGGCTTTCTGTAAATACCATTCATAATAAAAAGGAAGTTCTACTCCAAGCTTTCTAATATTTTTAAATTATTGTAAGTGTCTGTTGAATTTTATCAGACATTCTTGTCTGCATACTTTGAGGTATTATTTTTTTCTCCGTTGTTAAACCTCCTTTGCGGTCTGGGAACAAACTCGACTTACTCATGGTTTCTATCCTATTCTGCAGGATTTACTCTGCTATTTGGTTTTGGATTTTTTTTAATGTATCTTCATCACTGAGAACCCCCTTTGTTTGTTTCTTTGTTTTTCTAGTCTCTTGAAATTGAGTTGGAGTTTGTCTCCCCTTTTCTATGCCTTGGAATAAAACAATTAGAATTACTTGCTTTCTGAATGTTTAGAGCTCTCCTGATAAATCATCTAAACTTTCTTTCTGGGGAGGTATTTTAAATAGAGATTCAATTTTCTTAATAATTATTCAATTATAATTTTCTCTTTTTCAAAGACTTCAATGGTCCAGTTGAGGAATTTGCTAAGCTTTCAAATTTGTTTGGCATGAGACAAATTTAAAGGAGTCAACAGCCTCCTTTAAAAAAATCTTTGATCTTTGCTGCTTCTATAGTTGTCTCCATTTTTATTACTAAGACTTTTTTCCTCCCCATTCAAAAAATTAAATAAAATCTTGACAGAGATCTGAGTTTATTAGTCTTTTAGAGAACCAGTGCTTGACTTTGTAGATCTTCTCTACTGTACAATTTCTATTAATTTAAGCTTTTATCTGATTCCTTTCATCCCATTTCCTGGAACTCACTGACGGGAAGGACATGATCCCGTCGCTGGGCCTGGGGTGTAGCTGGGAGCTGACGTCCCCTGCGAACCGGGGACACTCCCGCCCGCCAGCCACCCACAGGCAGCCTCTGCGCCGCCTCTTCTTTTCCCTCCTGGACGTCTGAAGCACAAACGCTGCTTTCCTACAGTGATCTTACCTTTCTTTCCTGTTTCTCTTTGCTTCTCTCTGCTACGTATGGAAAATTTCTTTAGATCTACTTTTCAGTGTCCAATATGCTGTCAAACTCTCTTACTAAATTTTAATGTTTTCTTCAAATCTGGTCACATTTATATATCCCACTCTGTATTTTTTTCTACCTTACACATATTTCATAATCTGAACATAAGCCCTTTACTTAAAGGCTTTATGGATCTGACTCCGTTGTCTGTTTCTGCTTGTGTTCATTCATGGACCTTTGCTTCCTGTGTGTTCGGTCACATATGATTTCTGTTTGCTTGTGTCAGGGGCCAGAGACATTACCAGCCAGGGGCCACTGTAAACTAAATTCTTGTTTTTAGTTTTTTTTAGGATCCTCACTCGTTTGCATTGTATGAAGACCTGAAGTACTAGAAGGGATAAGAATAAGCCCTTCACAGTTGACACCCAAAATACATAAAGAGCTCACGCACATCAACAAACAAAAAGCAAATAAGCCAATTAAAAAATGGGCAGAGGAGGTGAACAGACACTTCTCCAAAGAAGAAATCTAGATGGCCAACAGACCCATGAAAAGATACTCCACATCGCCAGTCATCAGGGAAATGCACATTAAAACCACATGAGATATCACCTCACACCAGTAAGGATGGCCACCATCCAAAAGACAAACAACAACACATGCTGGCGAGGATGCGGAGAAAGGGGAAGCTTCCTACACTGCTGGTGGGAATGTAAATTAGTTCAACCATTGTGGAAAGCAGTATGGAGGTTCCTCAAAACACTCAAAATAGAAATACCATTTGACCCAGGAAGTCCACTCCTAGGAATTTACCCTAAGAATGCAGCAGCGCAGTTTGAAAAAGACAGATGCACCCCTATGTTTATCACAGCTCTATTCACAATAGCCAAGAAATGGAAGCAACCTAAGTGTCCATCAGTAGATGAATGGATAAAGAAGATGTGGTACATATACACAATGGAATATTATGCAGCCATAAGAGGAAAACAAATCCTACCATTTGCAACAACATGGATGGAGCTGGAGGGTATTATGCTCAGTGAAATAAGCCCGGCGGAGAAAGACAAGTACCAAATGATTTCACTCATCTGTAGAGAAGAAGAACAAAGCAAAAACTGAAGGAACAAAACAGCAACAGACTCACAGACTCCAAGAATGGACAGGGGGCATTATGATTAGCAGACATAATGCGGGGGGGATGGGGGCACCGGGAGGGCTGTACAACACAGAGAAGACAAGTAGTGATTCTACAGCATCTTACTATGTTGATAGATAGTGACTGCAATGGGGTATGCAGGGGGGACTTGGTGAAGGGGGGAGCCTAGTAAACATAATGTTGCTCATGTAATTGTAGATTAATGATACCAAAAAAAAAAGAAGAATAAGCCCTTTACTTCTACAAGGTTACTTCTCTATGGTGATCCAGACTTAGGCACGGGTAGTTAATTAAGTGTGAAATAGAAAAAAATATATAAAATGTTTACATTTAAACCCAACTGTTACAGCACTGATGTCATTAGATACACAGCTAAGAACTATATTTCAAAGAATTATGGCCACTGAGTGAAAAGAAAAAGGTCAGCGGACGTTGTCTTCAGCTTATTATAAATTGTAAGATATCCTTTCTGTTAAGAATTACTAACTGAATCTATAAAGGTTTTATTTTTCTCCATGCCAGAATATTTTTCATTACAATTATATACTTCCAAATAATTTAACATTTAACTATTCAAATCAGATGGGATAATTAACACAATATAGGAAAACTTCTGGTTAGGTTTTATTTAGTTAGAATATGTATCTCCAACAGTATGAAATAAAAATTTCCACAGTTCTCAATTGAACTGTATGTCATTTTCTTTTAGAATTTCTCGTTTTTCATGAAAATAATTTCTAAACCACTCTATGTGTTCGACCTTTTGTTTAACACTCAGATATGGGTTTTTGGAAAGGCCGCAGGTCACCAGCTCCATGAAGTGGCGAATTGGTCCTTGTTTTGGAAAATCCTCCAGGTATTTATCCAGAAATATATGTTCATGAAATTCTGAACCATTATCATCAAAACCTAGGCAATGAGACAAAATACATTAATTATCATTCTGAATGTAAAACCTGCATCATAAAATTAACATTAATGAAGTAACAGTATTGTAGTCAAAGATGTGAACTTTGGAGTCAGGCCCAGATTTGCCCACCGATTTAACAAGAGGTGACTGTTTTCAGGCATAAAATGAGGACCGAAAGAGCACCTTCTTCATGGGGGTGTAAAGATTAAACAGACTCAAAGCTTATAATGCTCTAACATGGAACTGAACGTCAGCCGGCAGTATTAAACCAATACCTACAGCTTACCTCGGGCCACAAAACAAACTTCAAAACATTTAAAATAATCAAAATAATACACAGTATGTTCTTGAATTTACTGGAGTCAAAGTAGAAATCAGTATGAGAGATAACAGGAAAATCTTCCAACAGTTGGGAATTGAACAATACACTTATAAACAGCTCATGGATCATAGAGGAAATCACCAAGACCATTTTTAGAAGCGCATAGACTCTAATGGATATGAAAACACAGCAAATCCAGACCCGTGGGCCGCAGCGGGAGCGGCGCTGGGAGGGAGGCAGGCACTAGAGGGCACGGCGGGCAGCCTGGAGGCGGGAACCCGGCTCCCGCCAGAGCGCCAGGGGGAAGAAAGAAATGACCCCAAAGCAAGCAGAAGGAAGGAAACCGTGAAGGTGAATGAGACATCAGTAAAACTGTCAAGAGTGAAAGAGAAGAAAATCAAACCAATGTCTGGTTCTTGAACAGAAATCAGTGAGACTGAGGAATCTCTATTCAGTGTGATAAAGAGAGAAGGAGCGAAGGCGCCCACCCCCACCGGCAGGAAGGCGAGGGCAGGCCCTCCCCGCCCATCCTGAGTCAGCGAGGGGAAGGGCACGGGGGGCACAGGAGGCACGAGTACTCACTGCGCAGCCGCAGCAACCGGGGGCGTGGCGCCCGCAGAGGGGCAGGCGTGCACATGGGCGGACCAGAACTGGGGCCCCACAAACCGACCCTGTCGTGGCCTGACCGTGTCCCCTGGACCGGACAGACCGAGCCCGGCCCCAGAGCGGCCGTGCCTAGACAGAGGGCCTTGAGGGAGGTTTAAAAAGTGGTTTCTAATCATCTAGAATTATTTTATATTAACAAAGATCTTTAGAAATTTGGACATTTAAACATCTATAAATCACTTACATTAAAGCTAAGATACATATCAGGGTGTAAACTGCCGAAGGGCCACCTGTTACCCCTGCGGCTTTCCTAAGTTTCGGGGCGTCTCTTACGCAGCAACAAGTAACTGGTACAACTGGCGGAGGAGACGCCCTCGTATTCGGAACCCCACTCTGCCGAATCGGCTCCTCGGCTCCGAGCTCAGTGGCCACGCCTGCCCACGTGCCGCCGCAGGGCCAACCTGCGGGTAGCCCGGGCTGAACCCCTCCTGCCGGTCTGGAGGCAACGGCACCGCGGCCCGCGTCGCGCGGCGAGACGCGTCATGGCTCCTGACAGTAAAACGCTAAGAAACAAGACGATGTCGCACTCGGCCGAACACAACCGGACACGCGTCCGCGGTACAGGCCGGAGGTGGGTCTCTGCCCCGTGCCCCCGCCCTCGGGCCCAAGGCCCAAGGCTGATCGCTGACATTTTGCACCCTTCTGGTTCTTTTTCCAAGTACATCTTTTTTCACAGCAAATTTTTTTTTTAAACGGTTTTTCTGACCCCCATTCAGAGTTCCCCATGGCTCCTCCGAAGAGTTTACGCCACTGAACAGGCGGGTCCCTCATTTCCTTTTTTTACAGGCAATAGGCACCAAGGAGTGAGGAAGGGGAGGCCATGCAGGAAGAAAGGTATAAAATGAAGGCAGCAGCCGGTCTGGGCTGAGGGCCTTTTTCACAGTCAAACAGTTTCACGTGACAAGTATTCTTTAAAAAACCCAATATGGCTAATGTTGTAACATGAAAAGCAGGTCAGGGCAGGTTTACACTCTCAATATATCTGAAAGGAGGCACATGAAGGCTAAAAAAGAAGCCCTGTATCCTAGGAAAGTAATAAATCAAGGTGATGAATGCTCTCGAATATCCAAAGGTGACCCTGGATTCCGATGTTTTTGTTGGTTGTTTGGTTATTAGTGTCCTTAAATGCACTAAGCTAGAACACTTGGGACAGAAAGTTTTACAAGAGAAATCATTTTTTTAAATAGCCATGTTAACACAAGCTTAATTATTAACTATTAACAGGCATTGGTCCAAAGACTGTATTTGACAGATACGAAGTCATCACGGTAGTGATGAGGCCTGCGCCGAAACAGGCGCAAAGGGGGTCTTGTTTCCTGCTGCCCTTGCTGCGCGCAGACCAGCCACCTCCTTAACCTAGAACGCTGCAGGGGGGTGACGGGCAGGTCCTTCGGAAGGAGTCCCTGTAGGCATGGGAGCTGGATGGTGCTGGCGAGTAGAAAGCAAAGGAAAAAAGGGAGAGAGAGAAACAGGGGCCACTATACACAAAAATAAGTTCCAGATAAACAGGAAAAGGATAATAGATCTGACTGCACCAATTAAACTTTTTGTTGGTTAAAGATATTCTAAACAGTTAAAAGGTAAGCACCAAGGATTTCTAGTTAAAACATAGCAGACTGAACCAATGCTTTAAAAATATCCACTCCCTTGTGACGCCTACTAAATGGCAGCAAAAGGGGTGAAGAGCACAAAGGGAGAGAAGGGACCCCAGCGGGCAGGAGGGCAGCAGAGCCGCAGGAGGGGCCGGACAGATGCACAGCAGCCGACCGGGCAGAGTGAGGTGCCAGCCCACCGCCCGGAGGAGGGGAAGACAGTAGGGCACAGACGTCGGGGGCCTGCGGAGCCCCAGGGACCGCGTGCCACTGTAATCGGGAGTGCGCGGCAGGAACCCAGGCCGGAGGACTGATTGAGGTTGGTTCAGGGAATCACATCTCTCCTGTCCCATCTTCCAGCAGAACCTCTAGACGATGCCATCCACTCCCGAAGAAGACGGGCAGTTTGCTTTTGGGAAGAAATTAAAGTGGAAGGAGGAAATAAGTTAGGGACCTGGTAAGAAGGGAACGGAGGGAACGTGTATATGCCGGATGGAGAGACGCGGCCGGCCCGGTTCTCAGAGCGCAGCAAGGCCAGCAGCCTCCGGGTGGGTGGCCGGCGGAGTTCTCCGTGGGAGACTCGGGACGAAGAACCGCAGACGCGCACCCGGGATGGTCTCCACTGCCGTCTTTTTACAAGGGACACTATGCCAAATGTTCACTGCAATTTAAAACACCCCTCCTGTCTGAGCCTTCTGGGAACAGAGAACTCGAGTGTGTGCAGAGGGGCGTGTGTACAGCACATGCAGCCCCGGGAACACAGTGAGATGAACGACGGTGCAGCGCGTGACGGAAGTGTTAAACAGGTATAGAACGGCTCTATTTACTGGAACCATCAAAAAATGAATAAAGTTGATCTCTGTGTGCTGACAAGGAAATGTTTTCAAGACACTGCTTAGTAAAACAAGTAAATAAAATACTGCAGGACCGTATGTGTGTAGTACGGCCCCACACAGGTCCAAACGAAACGAACAGGTGAATGCAAAGCTGCCGTTTGAAGTGGACCCAGAGGACACGCGCCGAACAGCCGACAGCAGTGACTTCAGGACTAGAGAGCAGCGCCCAGGGGGGAAGCGCACCCTGTGCTCTCCCATACGATTTCGATTTTTTGCAAGCAAACTTTCTTATGCTGATTTATGTAATTTAAAATATTTTTAATAAAAGAAACAACACGGTAAAGAGAAAATACAAGAAGGAAATCCCATATGGCATAAAAGCAGGTAGGGCTAATTCCCTGGCTGACTATTTTCTAAATATGCTGAATACAGTTAAAAATCCAGTACAACAGAAAAAGGGCAAAACCCACGTCCTGGAAAAGGGTGACAGCACTGGTCACCTGCTTTGGACAAGGGTATATTGCAACACTGAAGCAAATTCAGTCACCTTAATTCTGAATTGTTTCCACTTCTTTTTATTGTCAAAATTACTTTATTATTCTTTAGTATTTTATTTCCTCTCCTCTCAGCACCTTGAGGCTCTTGTTCGTAGGCCATTATTTCAACTAAAACAACCAAAAGACCATTTCAGTCACCACATACTTAATAAATAATCTATTTGCTGTGACTTTCTCCACACTCTGCCCTCCCACTTAACAAAACAGAGCCCTCTTGAGGAGTTTTAGGGTCATTTTGAACTTTTCTAACCTTGCTGATCAATTGCTAGCTCGTGTTACAGCCCATGTATCACCCTAGCAAAAGGCTGGCACGTTAGAAGTGAAGGAGTTTAACTGAAGAATAAAAACAGAAGTGGCTGACATTCGTGACTGAGCTTTTAGGCCCCTGAAGCCTCTAAACTGAAAACTACTCTGTTTCAAAAACACCTTAATCTGGTGGCATATTTAGGGCCTAATGGATATTCAAGTGCAAGACTGTTACTGGTAGTGGTAAAAATATGATAAAGTTAAAGTCAAAGTTAAACAAAAAATAATTTTATAATCAATCCAATCTCTAACAAATACTACAAAATCTAAGTGGGAATAATTCCACCTAACAGCTCTCCTAAATCTCCATGCTTTTAAGACACAAAAGGGGGTACAAACCAGGTTTTAGAACAAATAGTGAAAAAAAGCTACTTCAAATTGGAAAAATACTGTACACATTTTAAGTGGCAAGACAACAAACTATAATTCTTTTGTGTAACACAAAACCCCAACACTGGACGCGAACTACACAGGATGCGTCATTTTGTCATTTTCAGGGTTATGTGCCAGAACTGATCAGGCAGGCCCTAAACATAAAACAACACGACTATCTTTCCTTAAAAGCATCCACGTAAATCTTCATGAAGATATTTATTAGTAGAGAGAGCATAACCTTTTATTAATCTCAACCTTTAAGTGTAAGAAATATAAAAGAATGTCACTGAACTGCTGAGGCCCCAGGTTCTAACGCGAGGGGCACAACGCGTGCAGCCCCTCCCACGTGTGACCCGAGATCCAGGGAGAGAGTCCTGGGTCCTTTCCTGCTTGTCTGGACCTCCCAGGGCCGGAAATGACATGAAGCACCCCCGACACCTATATGGATAACCGGCACATTATCTCCCCAACTAAACCAAAACATGTTTTTTTTTCTTTTTTAGAAATTACACTTTCTCAAACACCAGGTCAAATTTAAGATTAATTCCTTTGGAGAGCTTGGACACTCAAGGTTCTGGTGAACTTGTTTTACTAGTGACAACACACCACCAATCCAAGCCTCCCTAGCATCCTGTGAGGTGGCTCCCAGAAAACACACCATATCCTTGCTAATATTTTAAGATTTTTAAATGTTACAGTATAGAACAGAAGATATTGTACAGTAGCAAATCGCCTCACAATATTGTTGCTGTAGAAATAGGGGTGACGATGCTTTAACTTGTATAATCTTATCTGCTTCTAAAAACAATCCCATAAAATAGGTTGTATTATTATTCCCATTTTATATATGGCTGGGAGAGATCACATATTTAACTCACTGAAAACAGGACCTCCTCCTAATGACTACGCTTCGCTGCCTCTCCTAAATCACAATTTATTCTGCATTAATATTGTGTTTTAAGACTATGTTTTTAACCATGAGCACCCGGAACACCCAAGTTTCACCAAATAATGAAAGCTTCTTACAACCACATTGTATTTTGAATTCCTTTTAAAATTATGATTGCAGAGGCGGAAAAGGAACGAACGCTGATTCACATGCGCTGTGCCAAGAACTGCCATGAGCAGCCCGGTAACATCACTTAACTTAATTCTTACATTCTTCCGAGGAGGTGCCTTTAGTTGTACAGAAGAGGAACTAAGGCCCAGGAGGGCAAACAGCTCCTCAAAGGCAAGTGGCTGACCCCTAACAGCGCTGGCATCTGTCCTTGGGTCGGCACGACGTGAAAGCCCTTTGGTTTTCTGCACCTCACCCTGACACCTTCCAGAACACAGAAACCGTATCACTTTAACAAATACACGCTATAAAATAGACAAAACTCAGCATGCTGAGTCACTGCACATACCATATAAATACACAGAATATTAAGAATTTGCTAAGGGATTTGTAAGTCTCTAAAGTTTTCCTATGCCAAGTAATACCTTATGAAGATGTAAGACTAAATGTATCAGACATTTAAGCTTCCATCCCATTTATTAACCCAAACAAATGAAAGAATATAAAAAATTACAATATTACAGTGACAGCATAACATACTTCAAAAGTTAAAACATGGACTACATTTTCCTAAGACTTACTGAGGCATCTGCAACTTCTACCTAATCTTATAAAAGTAAATGAGTCTCTTCTAACTGGAAATACATCCATAAAATGCAATGAAAATGCTTCAGTGATGACAACACGGGTGTCATAAAAAGCAGACAGCAATATTATTATTACTATTAAATAGCAAAACTAGTAATACTATTTTTCTTTTGATTGAGGAAGAGGTAACACCTCCAGAACAAAATGCAGGGAGGCAGACAATAGCAGCGAGTGGTTAAGCATCTAGGTGTGCAGGCAGAACTCCAAAGAATTTCAAAGCCTCCTAACATTTTTGCTTTCAGTGGCTCTGAGTCAAGAACTTTGCATCTCATCAATGCAATGATTTAATGAATAAAATACACCAGCATAAGGCTTTAAGTCAAAACATTTTCCACAATTGAAGTATACTAAACATTTTTCTAAAGAAGACATACACATAGATGGTCAATAAGCACAAGAAAAGATGCTCCACATCACTAATCATCAGAGAAAGGCAAATTAACACCACAATGAGCTATCACCTCACCCCAGATAGTTCTGGTCACTTTCCAAAAGACAAGAAATAACAAGAGTTGGGGAGGATGTGGAGAAAGGGAACCCTCCCACGCTGTTGGTGGGAGTGTAAACTGGTGCAGCCACTGTGGAAAGCAGTATGGAGGTTCCTCAAAAAATTAAAAACAGAAGTACCATAGGAACCAGTACAGTAATTCTACTTCTGGGAATTTACCTAAAGAAAACAAAATCCCTAATTCGAAAAGATACATGCACCCCTATCTGATGCTGCACTATTTACAATAGCCAAATTGTGGAAGCAACCTAAGTGTCCATCAGTAGGTGAATGGATAAAGAAGAGGCGGTACATACACACAATGGAGTATTATTCAGCCATAAAAAAGAAACTTTGCCAGTTGCAACATGAATGGACCTAGAAGGTATTATGCTCAGTGAAGTAAGTCAGGAAGAGAAAGACAAATATCATATGATTTCACTTATTTCTGGAATCTAAAAACAAAAACAAAAATGAAAACAGCAATAGATTCATAGACACTGAGAAGGGACTGGTGGTTACCGTGGGGGAGGGGCTTGAGTAGATGGGTGAAGGGGATAAAGGAGCACAGAGATTCTCAATCATAACATAAGTGGGTCACGGACACGGTAGCACAGCATGGAGAATACAGCCAATGACTCTGTAAGTTCTTCCCATGCTGACAGACAGTAACTGCACTGGTGGGGGTGAGGACTTAGTAATGTACCTGGTGAACCACATGTTGCATACTTGAAACTAATATAAGATTATATAACAGTGATACCTCAGTTAAAAAAAAATGAAGTATAATCTCATACCCAGAATTTGATGTATTGGAAGATTAACCAGATAATCTGCTAGCAACTAGAAAAATGTCTTCATTTGCAGTTCTCAACACTTTTGTCATAGAAATTCACAATGCACTTCTGCCATGTAATTTTACTTCTTCATTTTCCTTATCAAACATGTAGAACTAAGGGAAATTCTAACATTCTTATTAAAAACACCATCAGATTTCTTTCAGGACACTACAAAGATATTCATGCAAAGTTTTGAAATTCACATAAATACCTAGACTCAACAACTGAACATGTGGAGATTTAATCTCCATCACTGGATTCGATAAGCCTCTGAAATCAAGACTTGCCTGCCTCGTTGTTGACCGGGAACTCCCACAGTTTGCCTTCCTTTGTCCACTGGATCATCTCTTCAAAGCCGTTCTGAGAGGGCTGTTCAGTCACTGCAGCTAACTGCTTAGCAAACTCCACATCCCAAAGAGTAGGTGCTGTCTCTGTATGATAAAAATACTTCAAATAAGCACAAGTCAATGTAAGTATCTTTTCTTTTTCATTGAAGTATCATTGATATATAATCGTATGCTGGTTTCAAGAATACAACATAGTGGTTCAGTAGTTACCCGTATTATTAAATGCTCACCACTACTGGGGTTACTATCTGTCAATACAGAAAGATATTACAGAATCAATGGCTGCATTCTCCAAGCTGTACTACCATCCCTGTGACCAACTGATACTATCATTGAGAATTGTTGTGCCCCTTTATCCCCTTCGCCCTCCCCACCCACCTGTAAATATATTCACTTTAAAAAATGTTATAATCAACTCTGAATTGGTAACACATTTTCAGACCTCGTAGCTCATATTTAAACAGTATAAAATCAAAGGTCACTCTTCTGAGAGCCAAAACTGTAATAAAAATGCCATATAAACACTACAGCTACAATAATTACCAGCCTTAACTTTTGTTTTACTACAATGCTAGGCAGTCAGCTCCTAAGTCTCACTGCCTCCCCACTGGAAAGGAAAAAGGAATATGTATGTTGTTTAAGGATGTTTTTATAAGTTTGAGTATTTTTTATATAATGTGACCTTGACTTTTAAAGTCCAACCTGTTTAATTGTATTTTTAGTCTTTCAAATCACTAATGTACTACTAATAAAGACCAAATAAGTTAAATTAACATAATTAGAATGGTATATACTATTAAATACAATAATAATGTGTACATACATACACAGATAATAATGATACTACTATTAATAGATACTGAGCAGTTAGTCTGTGCTAAATGCTTTTTCATTGGAGTATAGTTGATGCACAATCTTATACTGGTTTCAAGTATACGACACAGTGGTTCGATGGTCACCTACATTATTAAATCCCCAGTCCCGCCAGCGCAGTTACAGTACCTGTCAACATAGGACGTTAGAGAATCACTGACGATATTCTCCATGCTGGACTACAGCCCCCATGACCAGCTTACATTATGATTCAGAATTTTTGTGCCCCTTTATCTCCTTTCCCCTTCCCACCCACGCACCCCAGCTAAAGGCTTTTTATTTATGCATTAGTTTATTTAATCCTCACAACCAGCTCCAGAAGTAAGGTAATATAATGTTAGCTTACAACCACCTTAACACATTTCCATCACTTACTTGCTTTGGAAATTTAAGGCATCTTTCAAGAATGAGTTATATTCCCACCAGTCACACTCCTGGTGGGAATATAAAAAAGTACAAACACTTTGGAAAACAGCTTGTCAGATTCTTAAAAGAATACACTTAACAACGATTTCATTCCTATTTATCCAAAAGAAAATGTATGTCCATACAAATATTTGTACATTAAAGTTCATATATGAAATGACTGACCACACGCTGACTGGACGTTAAGTACATCACCCTAGAAACGTCTGATACAGAGAAAAGATCACAGCAATTAGGCTTAATTAGCTGCATTTACAGAGTAATCATAACAGTAAAATAGCTTAATTATAATGGTTCCATTTCATTATTCAGTGGACACCAATCAAAATCAGCCTATGCCTTTTCCATCGCCATCAACACCATTATACTACTGTTAATAGTCGCGACTATCTCTTGAATGTCTACTGTATTCCAGGCACTGAGCCTGACATTGTCTCACTTAATCCTTGAGGTGTGCATATGAGGTCCATTTTACGGCTGGGGAACGGGAGGCTCAGAGAGGCCAGCATGACAGAACCTGAGCATGAATGATGCAGGTCCACCCAACACCAGCGCTGTCCCCATTAAGCTATATATACTGCCTCTGCGCTCTAGATCAACCCAGGACAGGCGTAAGGGCTGGGACTACAGTTGGCCCTGAACAATGCAGGGCATAGGGATGCTGAGCCCCTGCACAGTTAAAATCTGTATCTCATTTTTAACTCCTCAATAACTTAACTAGTAGTAGCTGTGGGTAAAACTGTAATATTCCAGAATACCTTGCCTGGCTTTAGTGCATCTCCGTATGAACAGGCGTTCCTAAGAGGTGGAGAGAAGTAGCTCATCTCCGTATCAGTGGGTAATTACCTGGGCACCCCAGGGCTTATCTGACCCTGAGATGTTGGGGGGAAGCTCTTGCTTGCTTCTGCCAGAGCAGGAGAGAGAAATGGCCCATGGACTGCAATTTGTAAGTAATAAATGGGTTTTAAACTTTATTTCTCCCTTTGACTGATTTCGGTTTTAGAGATATTTTGCTCCTCTCCTCAGTGTTACAGTGGCCTACTGTTGATTTTAGGGTAGTAAATGATAAGACAAACTGGTATCTATATATATTTTATGTATTCATATCTTTTTCTTAATTTTTTCAGTATTCCTAGACATTGCAGTTCATCTGTGAGTTTTTTCAAGCTGTTGCAAATCTCCCCCAAATATTCCAATATACTTACTGAAAAAAGCCATGTGTTAAGTGGACCCGCATAGTTCAAACCCATGTTGTTTAAGGGTCAACTGTATATTCTTCACAACAGTGGTAAGAAGTTTGTGGGGCTCAAAATGCAGAAATCGTGGGACAGAAGAATTTTCACTGAGCCAATGAATAATTACTGAATGCCAACTACATGCCAGGCATTATTGTAGTTGGTGAGAAACAGCAGAGAATAAATGCTAAATTTAAGTTTTCACATTGTTGCTATTCTTGTATTTAATTGGGAACAAAAGACATTCTTTAGCCTCATGGAAGTATAGCTTATTAAAACAATACCGCCATTAGAGTAAATTTACTTAAGTGTGTGCATTATTTTCCATAACAGAGTATAATCATTTAATACTGTTTTATGAAATACACGCAACCTCAGTACTTCCTTCCCAGCTAATTTGCTTTAGGAATAACACTTGAGATTTTAAAAAAGCAAGTTGGTTCCTTCAGGTGTCCAAATGCCTCTTCTGGCTGTTCATTAGCTGGACAACAGTGGCTGCCCTGATGACAGATTTCCTCCTTGAGCCCAAATTAACAGGTGCCACTTCAGTAGACCTGACTGATTTTCCATGACTGCATTTTATATTTTCTTTTCATCACACAGGACAGGATGCAGTTTTTGCGATGTAAGAAGATAAACGCACCCCTGTTTACTGCTGCATTACTTATAATGGCCAAAATATGGAAGTAGGCTAAGTGTCCATCAGTAGATGAAAAGAAAAAGATGTGGTACATATACACAATGGAATATTAATTCAGCCATAAAAAGAAAAGAAATCCTCCCATTTGCAACAACATGGATGGAACTACAGGGTATTATGCTCAGTGAAATAAGCGAGGCAAAGAAAGACACATACTATGTGATTTCACTTATTTGTGGGCTATACATACAAAGACAAACAGAAGAGCAGTAGGCCCACATCCATGGAGAAGGGAATAGGGGTACCACGGGGAGGGGCTGGGGGGGCTGGGGGGGGTGGATAGGACAGGTGAGGGGGATAAAGGGGCACAGAAATTCCCAATCATAATCTAAGTCGGTCAAGGGATAGTAGCACAGCATGGAGAATATAGCCAATGATTCTGTAACATCTTCCCAGGCTGACAGATAGTAACTGTACTGGTGGGGGGTGAGGATTTAATAGGGTAACTATTGAACCACTGTGTTGTATACCTGAAACTAAAATAAGACTGTATACCAATTTAAAAAAAAAGAATAAAAGAAAAACTACTACAAGTCTACTAAAGAAGTTCCCTGAATAAACAATCCTTAAATCGCCTCAGTTAAGTCGCTTCTATAAATGCGACAGGTAGTAAGCTGCCTCAGGCAGAAACCACAGTTTACCCTTCCTAATTGCGGAGCTGCAAACGGAGGTGATCACTAGTTCTAACCCAAATGAGCAGCTGGCCGCCAGCAGCTAGACTCCAATGGCCGGCAGCACTTGGCGCCTGCTGTCTCGGGCAGCGTCCCAAGGGGGAAGTGCTACCGAGGCCGGCAATGCCCACGGCCATGCTCAGGGGCAGGGCCCAGGCCGATCACAGGGGGACCAGTGAAACAGCTGTCTGCTATGCAACCAAGACATGAAGGACACATAAGTGGCGTTGTTCTGACAAACCTGTTTCAGGTGCCTCTTCAGCAACTGCCTTAAGCTGAAAAATATTAAGTCTCTTGCCCTTTAATATATTTCTCCTCAGACTGAAAAAGAAAAAAAAATGAATATTTTTATACACAAAATTGTTCAAGAAGGAAGTTTAAGATGAAATATTCAATGTAGAAAATAAACATAATTCCACTGACCCACACCAGGTATTTTAACTAAACTGCCAAGTCTGATAATTAAAAACAGGAATAAATGCACTTGAATTTTTGTATCATAATACAACAAAGTAGTTAAACCAGCTTAATTTCCAAAATACCAAATTGAAAAGACTAGCTTAATTTGCCATCATTTTTTATCGATTTCATATTTATTAAGTTTTTAGAAAACTGAATGTTGGACAGCTATCAAAATATGCTAAGTCAGAAGTTGTTGTTAAAGTCATTTGTCTTAGTTTAGGAGCAGAAAACATTGCATGGTTAACTACAAATTATACTACAAAAGATTGCACAGGTAAATCAAAAAATTCCTGTTTATAAAGCAATCGTTCTGTAATTTTTATGTATGATTAACTTTCCTTACATAACTGTTTTTAATTATTAAAATTAATGTCAGAGTTAATAGTTAACTTTTCCTTGTATATTTTAATCAACTGCTTTATGTATCAATTCACATTCATACTTGAATAAATTTACTGGAAGATTAAAAAGCAATTTATAAACTGGAGGGTAATCTAAAAAATTATTTTCTAGATTAAGTCACTTTTTCTACTAAATTAAAGTAGCTGAAAAAATACTAATACCATATTACAAGTGGATGAAATGATCTCAAATCATGTATGTTTTCCTCTAGCAGTCCCCAGGTATTTGTAAACAAAGGTATTTTATGTTCCGGAACTGCTATCAGTGCCACCCAGCATTCCCTCAACTGCGTCAGGGAAATAGGATGACGGATTAAAGTAACACACAGTAACAGGGAACGGTTTGGTAAAGAATGGGCTTTTAAAAGAGGGATTTACTAAAGAGGACGGGAAGGGGACAGAGCTGCGTGAGCATCTACTCTATACGGTCTCCACGCCTCTTTCCCATTCCTCTAGAACGCCAGGTAAGCCGGGCTTCACCTTCCGCATTTGACAGCTGGGCGAACAGACTGATGGGGCTGTGCAAGTTGCCCCAGTCACAGAATCAGTGGCGCCCTAGCAGGATGCTGAGGCAGGCCTGGGCGACTCCAAAGCCAGAGCTCAGAGGCTCACGCCTCTGTCTCTACCTGAAGGAAGCAGTCCGGGGTCACTTTCTGGTATCAACACCAGCCTGGACTGCCGCAGGCTGTCCCCAATCAGAGCAGAGTGAGTCACTTGTCATCTCACCACTGCTGCCCATGTTGGAGTCCTTTCATCAGCTTCTTGACAGTCACCATATGCACATAAACCCATTCCTACTTTAGCTTCTCCCCTGACATCTAATCTTTAGTGGCAGCTAATATTAAAAATCAAACTATGATACAGCATTCTGATAGAGTTGCACGGAATCATTTCAAAAAGACTGAAGTTAAACATTCTTGAGGAATCTTAAGTAAAACTCCAAGTACACAGTCTACTTTATTCAGTAATGTCATAGATATAATCACATTAAATTAGTAATTCAAATAATTTTCCGAAGTCACTGTAACTTCTTGAACGTCCTTTGTTAGCTGTTGACCATCTTTTCCAATCTTCTTGTAAAAATTAGTAGTTTAGTACCGAAAGGGAACTGACTCAGGGTGCTGAGATTACATTTAAAATCCATGGAATATGTAACACCTCAAAAATACTCCAGTTGTGAGCACTTGCTGCTCTAAAGAGGGGTTCGTTTTTGTCAGACCATGCTAAATATCTGGTTCCCCATTTGCAACTATCACTTTATGGATATGAAGGAGAGAAAACAGAAATGTTATGTAAATACTGACAGCTTTCTATTAAAAAATAACTATGTAAGGCATGACAGCATCTTTGAGAACCTCAAATTACCAAATTTAAATTGCTACAACTATTCTGCCACTTTAAGGTATTATGACAAATCTTTCTTTCTTTGATGTTGGGTCGTTTCTCTGAAGTATGAATAAAGATGATTATATAGAGAGAGGTAAAGACTACATAAATGTCCATTGTCACACACGTATCAGAATGAAAAATAACACATCTTGCGTAACATTCAGAATTCAATCAGCTCCACTTAGTCTAAATCAGGAGACCTCCAATCATCACGGGTAAATGGGAGGCAGGGGCCATTTTGATTCCTTTCTATTTCCTTTTCCGGGAAATGGTACATGAAGGGTAAGAAGACAAGACAGAAATGCATTCATAGTGGTCGGATGCCAGTCAGCAAGGAGGCGAAGCCAGAGACACAGTCACAGAGACGGCGAAGCCCGCGCACCTTTCCCCGAGGCCCCCGGCTCCCTTCTGGCCCACATGCTCGTCTGCTTCTTCATCAAGTTGGATCTCGTGCACTGGCCTTGGGGGGCCTCTGACCGTGGCAGATCTGGCAACTTTCATATCTGATATTATGTTGCTGAAACTGGAATAAGAAAAAGGTCATGTATCAGAAATTTCAGCTACAGGATAGTAATAAAGTTTCTTAAACATGAAATGCGCATCAATTCTTATTTCACTTCTGTACACTAATACAGCATAACAATGTATGTTTATATAATAGATTACATGTCATTCAGTAACATTCGCATTCCGCAGACCATTAAGATTTGTGCTTCCCTCTATTAAAGATGTTTGTTCTTCAGAAACACACATTCAAAACGTGTCCTAAACTGATCACTTAGAAAAATGATCAAACATCCAGAAAAGGCGATATACAATCAGTATCTGCATACTTATCTAGATTAAAAAACTAAATCAAGTTCCTGTGTGGTGACCTCCAATGAGTTGTACACAACGATATAAAGGGAAAAAAAAAAAACAAAAAACAAAGAAAAAAGAAAAACTAAATCAAATTGAAATTTAGCCCTATTTATGTGTTGCCTGGCCTTTGTTCCAATACAAATAAAACGAGTGGCCTGATAGTCCAGTCACGTGTTTTCCTTCCCTCCCTTGCTCACCGAGAGACCTGGCTTAGGTCACTCTCCAGACCAAGGCACACCCCCTCCCGCATTTCAGAAGCGGTGGTGACCCGGCACAGAGCGAGACAGGTGGCAGCATGGGGGAGGATGTCAGTGAGAACGTAGGAAGACGAGGAGACAGGGAAGGACACAGGCTTGAGGACCACCACCCTGTGCACCACACAGCGAGGAAAGTGGTCTTATCAGAGATGCCATCTTATTGTTCTTTATTTTTAATAACATGGCTGAATTGACCATTTCTTTTTAGGGACAAGAAATCATGTAACTTTCTACAAGAAAAGTTGCCAACATTCCACTAGTTCCTCTAAATACTGCAATCTACAACAAATCGCTAAAATTCCCTTTTTGAGGCAAATGCCACACATATAACTGCCACGTCATGTATGTCACTCTGCTGCGTGGAGCAGCCGTTCTGCGAGGCCGGCGCCTCCACCATGACCGCTGGGCCCACCGACCTGACCGCAGGCCCCTCCCGGCCTCTCTGCGCCTTCACACTGGCCTCGTGCAGCCGCAGCTGCCTCAGCAGCTCCGACTTGGTCGTCCGCTCGTCGAAAGGAAGAGAATCTGCAACCGCGGACGCAGCCGCCACCAACACGGGACTCAGGGCCGCACTTCTGAAACAGAAAATGAACAATGAAATAGGCCCTTAGTTAGTAGAAAGTAAGTAATTTTTTTGGAGAAAACTTTCTGTCATTCAAAAACGTTTCCCTCAATTTAATTTCAGACAAATCAAGAATTCCTAAATAATTAGGTATCAGTTTTAAACAACTTTAAAATGTTACAGATCAAAGTTAATGGATACTTGCTAAAGCACAACACTAACTCAGAATAAATGTACTCAGAGGGATCAGAACTAATTAAATGGTACAACTATGACGAAAAGCACAAAGGATCACAAATAGGTCTAGAGGCTTAATAAAAATCTCACTCTTGGCAACTATTTATATATGTGTGTATATTATCTAATTCTATATACTTACATAGGATTTTGTTTGATTTCTAAAAAGGAGGAGGACAGGTACCTATTACAGACACTCACTGTTTGGATTAGTTTACCCTCTACAACCCAACTATGTTTTCCAGAAGTGGTTTTGATACAATGTGGTGCTATATAGAAACCAAGAAGTTCCACAGACACAGTAAGTCATTCTGGGCAACAGGAATCCCCATTATCTGTTAATTCTGCTAAGAGACCTTGGAGATGCAGGACCTTAGAGCCACACGCCTTACTACTTACGCGACTAGATGGTATAGGTCATCAATGTAAGACACATCATTACTTCGTGTCACTAAAACAAAAATACTACCATTTAAATTAAAACACGATGCTAAAATGTCACTGACTGCTCTTAGAGTCAGTGAAATATCATACTTTTTTGACAAGCACAAATAATTACAATATTTTGAGGAAAACCATGTAAGCTGAGAGCGCTGATAATTACTGGTCAAAGGAAGTCATACAAAACAGTTGTAATCAACAAGCTAAAATTCTATCCTAGGTGGAATTTTTAAAATGGAAATTTCAAACAAGTCTTTCAGAGACAGGAAGCTACCTTCAAATCAGGATGTAAACAATTTGTTAATTCACAGCTTAAAGAGGCAATTACATGGCAGTTAATAACATTGATGCATATGTTAGAGAACGTGTGGAATTCTTAGATCACTGCTTGTTTCCTCTCTCTGGGCTGTATACAGACATCCCCTTCTTATTCAAATATACAACCTTAACAGTATTTCTTGAGTAATTATTAGTCTTGTGCTTACAAACTGATATCTAGTCTTCATTAATTATCTATTTACTCTAATTAAAAAACTATTTTTCTAAAAGAAAAAGCTTACTGGAGTTTCAAAAATCACTTTCAAAGAACATTTAAATTACAATTCAGTTTACCTCTTCTGCGGGGTATCTTGTTGATTCTGAAGCCTGCCAAGTGCAGCCTGCAAACTCTTAAGTTGTCTTTTGTTTCGTGGTTTTGTTGTTTGTACATTTACTGTGTTTGACTCAAATTTCATGCTCTTAATAATATTTAACACGTCTTTTTTCGTATTTTTCCGTCCACCGTTTTGGCTCTCTGTCTCCTTGGAGATCTCACCAGTTGGAAGAGACTGCTTATCTTCCTTGCAGTAGAGCACGCTGTTGGTGCCAAAATATCTTTGGATATTATTTTTTGTCCTGGAAAGAAGTATTAAAAAAAAAAAATTAAAAATACTGAAAAAAAGTGCAAAATAATAAAGCAAGAACTCTAAAAACTGCTTCCATGTGTTTTCAATTATTTTCAATTCAAACTCTTCCCTTTTGCTTTTTATTATTAGCACCCATAAAGACAGCAATTTAACATTTACTGAGCATATAGTATGTGCCTAGGCTTGTGCAACATATTTTATGGGCATTTTCTCATAGCCACATCAACTCCACAAAGTAGGTATTATCTCCATTTTGCAGGTAATGAAACTAGAAACCAGAGAAGTGAAGAAATTCACCCAAGGCCGTATAGCTCAGGGCTCGCTAAGGCCTAAGAACACTCAGAGGCTAGACCTGTCAATCTGCTTTCTTTGTTAGATACATTTGTGAAAAAGACCACCACAAATGACGGCACCTATTTTAAACTCATGCAGAACATTTCCCAATTCTAAGTAAAACAAGTATTTTATTTTGTGGCATTAAAGACCTTTGGTATTTGATATTGAAAGACTTTAAAAACTAGGGAGTGTGTTAGTTTCAGCAAAAGGGTACTGTGCGTAAAATGTCATTCATTAAATATAGTGAATATACACTGTGCACGACACTAATGGACACTGATGATATAATGGTATATAATTCATGGTCCTTAGCTTTATGAAGTGAACTGACTATAGCACTGATTCTGAAACTTTAATATGCAAAGGAATTACCTAGGCGTAGTAGGGAAAATGGAAGTTCCATGGCCAGGATCCTCACCTGACCTTGATCTGCTGGCCAGCTGTGCACATGCGATGCTCACGGGCGCAGGCTTGCACACGTGTTGGCAATGAATTGTTAATGACTGTGTTGCTATAGAAACACCTCTGCCCAGTACTCTGTGGAGAGAAGGGACAGGCAGAGTCGGACCTGCAGATTTCCAGACACAGATGTGCCTCTAGCACTAGGCCCGCCACCACAAGAATAAAGCTGGGTATAAACCCTTTCACCCCCAACGTTCTGTTGTCATTCTTTGGTCTCACCGAACCCAGGGTAAACTTGCTGGGAGCTGAACCGCCCCCTCCAGTGAGACGCTAGGGGACTTGTTACAACACAGATTCTCTTGTCCCACCAAGGAATTCTGACAGTAGCTCTGGGAGGGGCTCACTTTGCATTTCTAACATGTTCCCAAGAAATGCTGATGCAGCCCAGCCTAGGACCACATTTGAGGAGCTATATTATGTATGCCATTTAATCTTTACAATCTTATAGGGCAGGTTTTATTATTCCTGCTTTATACAAGAAAAAAACTGCTGCTCAAAGAGGTTAAATTAGTGGTTCATAACCTTTAGAGGTCATATGAACCATTTAGGGAGCTTATTTAAAACAGATTCCCGATATTCTTAGTAAGTCAGGAATGGGGCCCAAGGATCTGCATTTAACCAAGACCCCAGGCGATTCTTATCAATGAATCTCAAGGCCCTACATCACACCCTGGGCTAAATACTATTATCAAGCAAAAGGTAGTGTCATGCTAGCAGCCCTTTAGTGAAGGGCAAAATGGCTATTTTAGAAAATGCTGGAACAAACTATTTGGTCTGCTTATAAAATTGTCAGATTATGAAAAACCAGCTGCATAACTGGCACCCTCACAACCGTGCACAGGATCCGCCTTATAAGATCATTAATATATGGCACGACTCAAGTTAGGGAAACGCTCCAGTTACTATTTCACGTGTGAAAGTTACACTAACATTAAAGCTATTAAAAAGGAAAGGTGGCAGTCAGAAGAATGTCACATAGAACCTGTACTTGAGTGTTTCCTTCCAAGACTGAGACAGTGCCACAGAGAGTTACCTGTATTTATTACAGGAAAGTGTGTATGGGAAGTTAACTCCTTAAGACTAAAATAATACCTCCTACTTCTTTTCACAGAAAGCATCTCACAAGCACTTCAAATGCAACACACTGAAAAGCACATTTTAGAGCAAATTCGCAGACCCACTTCCCATGTTTAGCGCTTGCACTGAAGGGGCTCCTTCCGATAAGGAGGTATTTTTGTACTCTGAAATATAGGACATGTTTTAGGAGCCTTCTCAGGGCTTTTCGTCACTCTGCTAACATTAGGGGCACCCTAGCCCCCCAGAGCGGCTCAAGCCCGCTCTCTACCTCACCTGGCCCGGCTAGCGTCTCGGCCTCTGCGCGCCGCCTGGGAACCGCTCCCCCGCCGGCCACTCCCGCCCACCGCCCCGGTGCCAACCCGCTCCGGGCCGCGCTGACCCAGCTAGCCCGGCTCCTGCACGAAGAACGGCGGAGTCCCGTCTCAGGAGGGCTCCCCGCGGTCCCGGTACCGACGACACGGCCGCGCCCCCTTGTCCCGCCCGCTCAGCTCCAACCCCGACCCCCGTCGGCCTGCAGCGGCTTCCCAGGAAGCCTGCTCTGCGCCTCCCCCGCCCCGGCTGCGCCCACGCTCTCCGGCCCCGCTCCCTCCTCGCCCCGCGCGCCCTCGGGTAGGCGCCCGAGGAAGTGAGGCAGGCGGCCCGAGGCGGCGTCTCCGGAGCCCGTGGACCGGGGTGGGTGGGGGGGGGCACGGGGTCTCGGGCGCAGGCCGGTACCGCGCCCGGGGCCCCCACGCCGCCCTCCGGGCTCTCCCCGCCCCCAGGCCGAAGGCACAGGCTCCCGGCGCCCAGGGCACCACGCCGGCCCCTGCGCCCGGGCCTGAGAGCGGAACGCACGGGGCCGACGGCGCTGGGACGCTACCTGGCCGGGGTCGGCCCGCCCGGAACCACCGCGCACCGCGCGGCGGGGCGGAGCGGCAGGACGGCCGGGACTCCGCGGAGCATCGCGGCGGCGGACGCCGGGCGGGGAGCGCGGCCGGAAGAGCGCGTCCCCGCGTGACGGGACCCCCACCTCCCTTCCGTTCCGCCGCCGCCGCGGTCCCTTCTCTCGGCGCCCCGGCGGACAACGGGGGCCGGCGCCTGGGTTCCGGCCTCGCCCGCGGCCCGAGGCGGACGGGCAGCGGCGGTCGGCCGGGAGGCACCGGTGGGAGCGGGGCCCGGAGGCCGGCCGGAGGGGCGGGGGCGCGCCGCGCAGGCCTGGAGGCGGCCGAGGGACCGGCGGGCCGTCTCCCAGCGCCCGTGACGAAGCCCCGCGGGGCCGCCGCCGCCGCTCGTTCGCCGCCTGCAGACGCGGCGCAGGGCGGGGCGGCCGGCTTAATTCTACAAAGTTACAGAATCACCGCAAACATATGGAAATAACGGGTTAGCTTAATGGTCAAAGCGATTTTACATCACCTCAATGCATTTCCTTCCCATAATATCTCATCTCTCAGATTCATTTCTTACATTATTTGGTTGCTATGCTAATTCTGAGACACACATTTGATCTAAGTAAACAATATGTCTTGGAAAAATCTAAATGAATAAATACACCTAGAAAGATTCCAGCAGTCAGACACCTTCGGGCGGTTCGCTGTCAACCTGTCCTTGCTAGCGAACCGCAATGGGGCAGAGAAGCCCCTTCTCCCTCGTGGCGGGATGGGGAACACAAACGTCACCGCACAGGTAAGTTTGCAGGCACAGCAGCCGCCTGCTCATACTTTCATCAAAATGTTTGCTGCTTGCTTTATTCCACTTGCCATCAGACTGGCTCTGTCTGCATAGACTTCATATGCAAGCCAACTTAATTTATATGATGTATTTCTCTTCACTCACTAGCGTTCCTCGTATATGTGATTTCATTTCCCAGTATGCATGTTGCTCTGTTTATATACCAGTATTCAGTGATAACAATATATTTATTTTTAGCTATATTATTTTACTCATACTATTTATTTCATATTTTATTTTCAAGGTTGGTAGACATTATTGAATACCCAGAATTTATCATTTCACATTTCCACTTCATAGAATCATTATACCTTATGTGCAAAATAATTATTTTCCCTATAACCAACTCGACGTTAACTTCCAATGCTTCTGTGTAGAAGAGTTTATAAAACGTTTTCCAACAAAACGGGGAGGTACCATATATTCCTGCAATACAGCATTTAATGATAATAACCACATGACTGCCACCACTGAGCACTAAGGGACTTCTGCCCTCATTTAACTTTCCGAATGACATCAGAATTATCCAATGCAAGGTAATTGTGCGTCACGGAGGATGGATGACAGCAGGTAACAAGAAGTCCAGGAACAGTCAATATTTGGAAATCCAACTAACCTGGCCGACAGTAGCATTTGTTCACCAGGTTTGTTCTTTGTGAAATACACTTGCAGAATAAGCCCACAGACCCAGCAGTTTCAGCTCAACATGTCAGTTTACTTGTGACCCCACTGGTACTGACATTAAATTATTACGAACATCTTTCCAAAGGCACTGGACGGGCTGAAGGCACAGAGGGAGAACATGAGGCCTGTCGGGTTGTGATGAGGCCTCCTAGTTTGGGTGGAGAATGAGTGCCTGTGGTAGGACGTCAGATGTAACATTTACCTCTTTTTTCCACAGGTGGAGTAGGAGCTGTTTTTCCCACAATGGGAAGTTTTAATCTTCCTCCCTGTATATACATATATTTCCAGCTAATGCAGTTTATAAACCACGTCTGCAGGGAAGATGGAAGTTCCTACTGCCAGCATCCTCACCTCGCCCTAATCTACTTAATGATGTAGCTGGCCTGCTGTGCAGAGACCCGCTTACACACCCGCCGGCAATGGGCCGTTACTGCCTGAGTCGCTGCAGAAGGAGCTCGGCCCGCTGCTCTGGGCGGAGGCGGGTTACAGACCCGCCGGGTGCTGCTGCAGACGTGACTCCAGCATTCCACCCGCCGCCCTGAGAACAAAGCCGGTATAAACCCTTTCATCCCCAGCTTTCCCTTGTTGTTATTCGGTCTCACTGAATCCAGAGTGAACTTGCCTGGGGCTGAAACCCTCCGGTGAGACAAGGTCAAATTATAGTATCAAATTTTCTAAAAGAGATGAATATATGCATTTGTTTATATAAAAAATTTAGATCTGGGGCATCAGTATAAATAGATAACATCTATTAAGTGAAAATAAAGGCTTCATCCCTTTTGAACCCAAAGGTGAGACCATCCCCACCTCAAGGGGCTGGCGACCAGGGCCGGGGTCACAGATAGATCGCTGGGTGATGCGACAAGCTAGGGAAGGCGCGGTGCTAAGCGACAGCCTCCCGGGCCCCGAGGGAGGGGCCTCCTGGATCACCGCCCTGTTAGGCGTTCGGGGCCCAGAGCAGGGCCGGGCGAGGGGCGAGGGGCGTGGGGCGTGGGGCGCGGGGAGACCTGTCCCGTCTGCGGTCCTTGGGACCCGTGGGGACGAAGTGGTTTGGTCCCCTTCACAGGACATTGCTTACATGCTGGCCTTCCCCCCTGCTCCCCCGACTCTTTCTCGGTGTATTTATACGTAAAATTGCTTTGGATTTTAAGTTCGTCAAAGCCCAGGATCTTGCCTTGCTAACGTGCATTGCACAGCATGATACACGGAACTATGTCGAAACGGCGCTTAGCAAATGGTTTCTGAAGGTGACGGACGGAGACGTCTCCCGGCAGAAGTGTCCTGGGCACACACCCTCAAGTACCCGCAGGTCCCGTCGCCCCCGCGGGCCCGTCCAGGCCCCGCCCTCTGTCCCGGGGCGCTGTCTGGCTCACTCCGCGGTGGGAAAGCCCAGCCTGCAGGCTTGGTGAACCAGCCGCCCGGTTTCCTTCCAGCAGGAGGGCTGAGACCCCCCCGCAGTTTCCGGGCCCTCCAATCACGCCCTCAGGAAGGGGCTTGCACCGCGGCCGGCCCGACCCTCGGACGCGTTTGTGATGTTCACGCGCCCCCTGGAGGGAACAGTAATCTCGGCTTCCGGGGAACACGCGCGTGCGTGTCGGGGGTGTGCGCGTGATGTGCGTGTGCGTGTCGGGGTGTGTGCGTCATGTGCATGTGCGCGATGTGCACTGCGCGACATGTGTGCGTGTGCGTGTGCGCGCGTATGTGATGTGCGGGTGGGGGGGGTGCGCGCGCGGTGTGCGCTGCACTGGGCTGCGTCTTCCCCCCCGGCCCCACCCCCGGGCTGCAGGCGGGTCCCGGCGCCGCGGTCCCGGCCCTGACCCGTCCAAGTCGCCCCAGGGCCGCTCCCGTCTCTCCCCTTCAGTTTCTTCACTACCCGGCCGACACCCGGGTCATGGGTGACTTAATGCAGAATCCTGAGCTGGTCCCCCACCACACTGAGAATTTTTCTCAGTCTCACAAATGAACCCAGCACAGCCGGACACCCCGAGCAGATACAGGGCCAGCGCACAGGCCTGGCAGCAGAGGAGGGAGGAATCCAGGTCATACCCTCCATGTCCCCAGCCCGGAAGGACATTTCTCTTCCAGGACACCGAGGCCCACTGACCTGCAAAGCAACCTGCTCTATGGGCACTTTGAGCTAAGGAGGAAGATCGTCCCAGGTGGGGGCTCTGCAGGGCAAGGCGACATGCCGAACCCCCGCAGGCCCAGCGCGGCCTGCTGCCCTGACTCCCCTACCCACCCTCTCCTCCCTTGCTCGCTGCAGTCCAGCAGCTCCGGCCTGCTCTCCGATCTTTGTACAGGCACAACGCCTCGTGCGGGACTCCAGCTTTGCACGGAATATTCTTTTGCCTGCCTCCAAGATGGTCCCTAGATGGGCCCCACATCTTTCTAAGAGCTCAACGGTCACTTTCTGAGCGGTTCCGCATGGAGGGAAGCCAACCTCCCAGCCCATCAGGCTGCCCCGCCTTGCCAAGAACTCATCACCACCTGAATGACCTCCTTCCCTTCCCAACGCGGGTCACTGGGTGCCTGCAGTGGACTCTGTCTTCCATGGGATGTACCAGCCTACCAAGGGACAGGCTGTCTCCCGGAGCCGACAGACTGTCGGTCCCGTTGTTCACTTAGTTGTTGTCAGCCTCCCCCACTGGAACACAAGCCGTGTGAGAGCAGGGACCTTGGTCAGCCTGGCCCACTGCCTTATCCCCAGAGCCTAGAAAAATTATGTAACTTGCCCAAGTTTATACAACTATTCATAGTAGAGGCATTTGTTTCTAGGCCCTGTTCTCTTAACCACTAGACAATCTTGTCTTACAAACAGCTCTCGGCCATTCATTGATTTGTTCTACAAATATTTATTGAACACCACAACATGCCAGCTGTTGTTCTAGATCAGCGGTGTTCAGTACAGCTGAGGGCGATAACGGAATGTTCCCTGTCTGTCCTGCCCAATATGGTAGCCACGCGCCACATGCCCATGCGACTGAAGCGCTGAATCTTCATTTCACTGCAAGTAAGCTAAGGTTAAGTGGCCACATGCAGTGAGGGGCTGCCCGAGTGACGGTGTAATTCTAGACACTAGGGAAACATTGGTTGAAAGCAGAGACCCTTGTGGAGTTACATGCTGGGAGGCGAGGGGAAAGAGAAAGACAGTAAATAAGAACCATAATAAGTAAGTAAATGTGACACATGTGACATGCTAAAGAAAATGGAAGTGCAGCGGGCGAGGAGGGCCGGGGCTGCCGGGGCTGCCGTAGGGCCGCCAGACCAACCCCAGAGGGGTATAGTGATTCAGTCCCAACGCATTTCAACTCCAGTTTCCTCCTGCTCCCGGTCCTGGTCCTGTTCAGCTCCCGGAGACTGGGGCCAGAGGCTGGTGGAGAGGCAGGCTGGACTCAGACGGGCAGTGCCCTGGGTCCGTCTCCTGCTGCTGGGCTCTGCCGGGCGAGGACCCCGCAGAGACGGGCGCGGGGTCCCCGGGGAGAGCGCACGGGCTCGCCCTGGCCCGGCCCTGGGGCAGCCCCTCCTGCAAGGGCAGCCGTAAGCCTGCGCCGGGTGAGGGGCCCCTGATGCGAGCCCTGCCCCCTCCCCGCCCGCCCCCCAAGTTTGCCAGCGACTGACAAGCGTCTCCCCGCAGCACATCAGCTCCCCGCCCAGGACAGGCAAGGAGGGCCGGGCTGCGGGTGAGGGCACAGGGCGCCCGCCGCCTCTGGGCCGACCCCACCAGGAGGTGCTAGCAGCCCACCTGTGGCGGTGGTCTCTGGCACGCCCGGAGTTCACACCTTGCCCTACGCTGTGAGCCTCAATGCCAGTTTGGGACAAGAGAAATCCCACTCAGCATCTTACACCTTCTGGGGCTAACTCACACGTGTAATTTTTCACCATGATCAGTATGCACAACTTCCCTTCTGTGGTTGTCCTGTTTGGCCCTGCAGGGGATTCTCCGCAAGAGTGAAGACAGGCTGCAGACCTCCCGCTGGCCACAGTGACCGGATGGATGAGATCTAGGAGCTGTAGGTTGACACAGTGTAACTCCTTGGCCATCATCTGCGTCACCCGGCCTGCTCTGCTTAACAGTGTCCCAGCTGGGAGCTGCTCCTCCAGATCTGTGGTGAAGATCTACATGGCAGCAGTTCAAGCTCAATCTAATGCTTGTTGACTCTGGAAACGCGAAGGATACATCCGTTCCCAGATGTGAAGATGAGAAATGAACGGAAGAACCTGAAAGAGAAAATTAGTTCATCTGACACTTCTGCCAAGTTTGCACCTCTAGATAACAGAGCCAGTTATAAGTAGATTTTCCAGCTTCTAATCACAAAAGAAAAAGAAAAAAGAAATGGTCTTTATAGTTATTATGTTAAATATATATACAAAATGCTTGTAATGCTTACTTTAGATTGTTAATTTGCTAAGTGTAAAAGATTTGCAAGTCTGGTAATGGTTTTCATTTATTTTACAATGAGACAGATTCTTATTTTCATTCTCGAGCCATATTTTATTACCATTTTCAAAAACGGTTTTGACCTTACATCTAAATGAAAGTGTCATCAAAGAATATGGAGGCTGAGAGTTAGTAACTGAATATGTCCAGCAGTTAAAGCACATTAACCATTAGAAACGTATCCATTGCAGATAGGCTCAGCTGTGAGGAAGGATCTCACACACACCCACGTACAAACACACAGGAGAGAAAAACCACATACACCTACAGGCCTCACACTGGTCAATTCTGCGACAACGATGGACTCCAACAGTTTATGGAGCTGATTCACTTTGACAGATGGTGCCTAAAACGCCCCACAGGCAGGGCCAGGGAGGAGTAAGCCTCGCCCCCGCACCCCCCAGGGGACACTGTATATGCAGGTACGGGGCTGAGCGCTCGGTGGGCGGTGCACCTCCCAGCCCTTCTGCTCGCACCCCAGAAGCAAACTGCTGCAGCGCCCTGATCGGCGCCTACGCCTTTGCACGTGCAGCCGCCTCTGCAACGCTCCGCAGGTCTGCAGTGGGCATGTGTCATGCTTGCTGGCTGCTCAGCATTGTTTGAAACCCTGCCAACATTCAGGGCGTCTCCTAACGAGGGAGTTCTTCCTCTCCAAGCCTTCCCACAGGCCCCGGGGGTGGGGGGCACTCATCAGTGGTCTAAGCCAGGGGTGGACAAACCAGGGCCCACCAGCCAAGTCTGGAGTAGCACTGCTGTTCATATGGCCACCACGAGCCATACAAATGTTTTTTAGGCAGACCCCGCTCAGACTCCGGCTGTGGGGGACGGTCCGGATTTTCAGTCACGAAGTCTGGGTAGGGACTTCTCCTGCAGCAACGTGGCTGACCAGCCTCTTTGTGTTTCGGGGTCAGGCTTCCAGGTATTTTTGCAGCGAGATGCTGCTCTCCATAGGAATGCTCATGCTGTCAGCCACACAAATATATACCATCTTGACCATCCAGCTCTTTGCATTCTTGAACTTACTGCCTGTAGAAGTGGACATTTTAGCATCTAATTTTGAAAATGTGACTCAGACGTTTGATGATCTTCCGGCGAGATTTGGTCATAGACTTCCAGCCGAAGGTTTAAAGGGTTTTTTGATTAACGCCAAACCAGAAAATGCCTGTGAACCCATAGTGCCTCCACCAGTAAAAGACAATTCATCTGGCACTTTCATCGTGTTAATTAGAAGACTTGATGGTAATTTTGATATGAAGGTTTTAAATGCACAGAAAGCAGGATACAAAGCAGCCATAGTTCACAATGTTGATTCCGATGACCTCATCAGCATGGGGTCCAACGACATTGATGTGCTGAAGAAAATTGACATTCCATCTGTCTTTATTGGGGAATCATCAGCTAATTCCCTGAAAGGCAAATTCATCTATGAAAAAGGGGGCCACATTATTTTAGTTTCAGAATTTACTCTTTCTCTGGAATACTACCTAATTCCTTTCCTTATCATAGTGGGCATCTGTCTCATCTTGATAGTCTTTTTCATGATCACAAAATTTGTCCAGGATAGACATAGAGCTGGAAGAAACAGACTTTGTAAAGATCAACTTCAGAAACTCCCTATTCATAAATTCAAAAAAGGAGATGAGTATGATGTATGTGCCATTTGTTTGCATGAGTATGAAGATGGAGACAAGCTCAGAATCCTTCCTTGTTCCCATGCTTATCACTGCAAATGTGTAGACCCTTGGCTGACTAAAACCGAAAAAACTTGTCCAGTCTGCAAGCAGAAAGTTGTTCCTTCTCAAGGCGATTCAGACTCTGACACAGGTAGTAGTCTAGAAGAAAATGAGGTGTCAGCACATACCCCTTTACTTAGACCTCTGGCTTCTGTCAGCACACAGTCATTTGGGGCTTTGTCAGTATCCCGCTCACATCAGAACATGACAGAATCTTCAGACTATGAGGAAGATGACAATGAAGATACTGACAGTAGTGATGCAGAAAATGAAATTAATGAACATAGTGTTGTGGTCCAGCTGCAGCCTAATGGTGAGCGGGACCACAATATAGCAAATACTGTTTGACTTTCAGGGGTGATTGGGTTATTTCCCTTTAAAGTGTTTATTTAGGTCTATAATTTGATTTTTTTGCTTTCAGAGATTCCTGTAGAAATAACTTACTTTTTATTGTTCTACAGTTCAGATTGCTGAAACAGGTTTTTTTGATCTGGTATTTATCTGCAGGGGTGCACTTCGTTTCACTAATAACTAATAATAGACTGGTGCCGGAAGTCAGGCATCCGATCAACTCTCCTTTCGGAATGAAATAAAGCCACAACATTAAAGAAATTCCTCAGTATAGCTTTCAGCTAAGACCTAGATCGCAGTTATGCAAATGTTTCGTGTCATCACACACAAGGTCAGTGCTGTGGCCACCGAGCATGAGCCAGACCAACTCCCTCCTCCATCAAGTTGCCTATAGAGTCACTGAGTTGGAACATGATCGTTCTGTTATTTGCCCAAATTGCTGTTAGTGGGACGCAACAAAGTAATTTAGCATTTTTCCTATCGGCACCACAAAGAAGACTTTTTCCTTTCTATTCCCAAGTAGTCTTATCCTGATAGGAGTGGACTATATTAGTGTGCAGATTTCAAAGGTTTTTTTTTTTAAAGGTTTTGAATACTACAGTGTTATTATGAATGTGACTCATCAACTAAAGTAGTAAGTCTCTGGACTTCACTGAATTTCGGTATCCTTACAAGTTTTGTGTTGTGATCAAACCAAAAGAAAATGCTGTGTAAAACTACCAAACTTCAGTAACTGTTAATACTCAGATCATAATACTCTGAAGGCAGGAAAGAATAATAAAGAGCATCTTATGCTAATAAGCCCTGCTAAACCATGTATAGAAGAAACTGTGTAAGTATTAGACCTGAAAATAATTGCTTATGTTTAACAGAACAAATGTATTTAAATAATGTATTATGAAAAGCTAAATTATATTATACATCATTGTAACTATGTAGAAAATAATACCTAATGTATAATGAAAATGCTAAGAGTTTTTATATGACCTTGTATGAAGGGAGTTTGAATGTTAATAAACACATTTTCCACTTAAAAAAAAAAAGTTTTTTACTGTTAAATGATTGAAAAAAATCAAAGGAAGAATAATATTTTGTGCCAGGTAAAATGATATGAAATTCAAATTTCAGTGTGTGTAAAGTTTTATTGGAACACAATCACACTGAACCATTTATAGAGTCTATGGCTGCTTTTGCTTATACCAGAAGAACTGAATAGATGTGACGGATACTACATGCCCTGCAAAGCCTAAAATATTTACCAGGTGGTCCTTTTCGGAAGGAGTTTGCCAATCATGGTAACTCCATTCTGTTCTCGGTTATGCTTGGGGGAGCAAGACACTCAGTTCTGGGTCAATGAAATACAAGGGGAATTTTTACACAGGGTTTCTGGGAAAGACTCTTTTTCTCTGATGAAAAGGAGATATGGGCGAATGCTTCTTTCCTGCCTTCAGAGGCTGTGGCAGCCACTTTGTGATCATGAAGGAAAAGCCAAGATAATCATGGAGAAACTGACCCAGATACTTTTGAGATGTTGAATTAACGAATCCTGGAACTTCCTACTTCTAGATTTCTTTCTATAATCAAGAGAAATATACTGATAGTTGGGCTTTCTGTTATTTGCAGCCAAATATATCCTAAAGTGTATGATTTGAAAAACAATTTTTAAAATTATAGCATATAATTCCTCTTATTGATGACCCATTACATTTTAAACATCCATGGGCATTTCCCCTAATTCTTTGCTGCTATAAATNCCCGGCAGAAGTGTCCTGGGCACACACCCTCAAGTACCCGCAGGTCCCGTCGCCCCCGCGGGCCCGTCCAGGCCCCGCCCTCTGTCCCGGGGCGCTGTCTGGCTCACTCCGCGGTGGGAAAGCCCAGCCTGCAGGCTTGGTGAACCAGCCGCCCGGTTTCCTTCCAGCAGGAGGGCTGAGACCCCCCCCGCAGTTTCCGGGCCCTCCAATCACGCCCTCAGGAAGGGGCTTGCACCGCGGCCGGCCCGACCCTCGGACGCGTTTGTGATGTTCACGCGCCCCCTGGAGGGAACAGTAATCTCGGCTTCCGGGGAACACGCGCGTGCGTGTCGGGGGTGTGCGCGTGATGTGCGTGTGCGTGTCGGGGTGTGTGCGTCATGTGCATGTGCGCGATGTGCACTGCGCGACATGTGTGCGTGTGCGTGTGCGCGCGTATGTGATGTGCGGGTGGGGGGGGGTGCGCGCGCGGTGTGCGCTGCACTGGGCTGCGTCTTCCCCCCCGGCCCCACCCCCGGGCTGCAGGCGGGTCCCGGCGCCGCGGTCCCGGCCCTGACCCGTCCAAGTCGCCCCAGGGCCGCTCCCGTCTCTCCCCTTCAGTTTCTTCACTACCCGGCCGACACCCGGGTCATGGGTGACTTAATGCAGAATCCTGAGCTGGTCCCCCACCACACTGAGAATTTTTCTCAGTCTCACAAATGAACCCAGCACAGCCGGACACCCCGAGCAGATACAGGGCCAGCGCACAGGCCTGGCAGCAGAGGAGGGAGGAATCCAGGTCATACCCTCCATGTCCCCAGCCCGGAAGGACATTTCTCTTCCAGGACACCGAGGCCCACTGACCTGCAAAGCAACCTGCTCTATGGGCACTTTGAGCTAAGGAGGAAGATCGTCCCAGGTGGGGGCTCTGCAGGGCAAGGCGACATGCCGAACCCCCGCAGGCCCAGCGCGGCCTGCTGCCCTGACTCCCCTACCCACCCTCTCCTCCCTTGCTCGCTGCAGTCCAGCAGCTCCGGCCTGCTCTCCGATCTTTGTACAGGCACAACGCCTCGTGCGGGACTCCAGCTTTGCACGGAATATTCTTTTGCCTGCCTCCAAGATGGTCCCTAGATGGGCCCCACATCTTTCTAAGAGCTCAACGGTCACTTTCTGAGCGGTTCCGCATGGAGGGAAGCCAACCTCCCAGCCCATCAGGCTGCCCCGCCTTGCCAAGAACTCATCACCACCTGAATGACCTCCTTCCCTTCCCAACGCGGGTCACTGGGTGCCTGCAGTGGACTCTGTCTTCCATGGGATGTACCAGCCTACCAAGGGACAGGCTGTCTCCCGGAGCCGACAGACTGTCGGTCCCGTTGTTCACTTAGTTGTTGTCAGCCTCCCCCACTGGAACACAAGCCGTGTGAGAGCAGGGACCTTGGTCAGCCTGGCCCACTGCCTTATCCCCAGAGCCTAGAAAAATTATGTAACTTGCCCAAGTTTATACAACTATTCATAGTAGAGGCATTTGTTTCTAGGCCCTGTTCTCTTAACCACTAGACAATCTTGTCTTACAAACAGCTCTCGGCCATTCATTGATTTGTTCTACAAATATTTATTGAACACCACAACATGCCAGCTGTTGTTCTAGATCAGCGGTGTTCAGTACAGCTGAGGGCGATAACGGAATGTTCCCTGTCTGTCCTGCCCAATATGGTAGCCACGCGCCACATGCCCATGCGACTGAAGCGCTGAATCTTCATTTCACTGCAAGTAAGCTAAGGTTAAGTGGCCACATGCAGTGAGGGGCTGCCCGAGTGACGGTGTAATTCTAGACACTAGGGAAACATTGGTTGAAAGCAGAGACCCTTGTGGAGTTACATGCTGGGAGGCGAGGGGAAAGAGAAAGACAGTAAATAAGAACCATAATAAGTAAGTAAATGTGACACATGTGACATGCTAAAGAAAATGGAAGTGCAGCGGGCGAGGAGGGCCGGGGCTGCCGGGGCTGCCGTAGGGCCGCCAGACCAACCCCAGAGGGGTATAGTGATTCAGTCCCAACGCATTTCAACTCCAGTTTCCTCCTGCTCCCGGTCCTGGTCCTGTTCAGCTCCCGGAGACTGGGGCCAGAGGCTGGTGGAGAGGCAGGCTGGACTCAGACGGGCAGTGCCCTGGGTCCGTCTCCTGCTGCTGGGCTCTGCCGGGCGAGGACCCCGCAGAGACGGGCGCGGGGTCCCCGGGGAGAGCGCACGGGCTCGCCCTGGCCCGGCCCTGGGGCAGCCCCTCCTGCAAGGGCAGCCGTAAGCCTGCGCCGGGTGAGGGGCCCCTGATGCGAGCCCTGCCCCCTCCCCGCCCGCCCCCCAAGTTTGCCAGCGACTGACAAGCGTCTCCCCGCAGCACATCAGCTCCCCGCCCAGGACAGGCAAGGAGGGCCGGGCTGCGGGTGAGGGCACAGGGCGCCCGCCGCCTCTGGGCCGACCCCACCAGGAGGTGCTAGCAGCCCACCTGTGGCGGTGGTCTCTGGCACGCCCGGAGTTCACACCTTGCCCTACGCTGTGAGCCTCAATGCCAGTTTGGGACAAGAGAAATCCCACTCAGCATCTTACACCTTCTGGGGCTAACTCACACGTGTAATTTTTCACCATGATCAGTATGCACAACTTCCCTTCTGTGGTTGTCCTGTTTGGCCCTGCAGGGGATTCTCCGCAAGAGTGAAGACAGGCTGCAGACCTCCCGCTGGCCACAGTGACCGGATGGATGAGATCTAGGAGCTGTAGGTTGACACAGTGTAACTCCTTGGCCATCATCTGCGTCACCCGGCCTGCTCTGCTTAACAGTGTCCCAGCTGGGAGCTGCTCCTCCAGATCTGTGGTGAAGATCTACATGGCAGCAGTTCAAGCTCAATCTAATGCTTGTTGACTCTGGAAACGCGAAGGATACATCCGTTCCCAGATGTGAAGATGAGAAATGAACGGAAGAACCTGAAAGAGAAAATTAGTTCATCTGACACTTCTGCCAAGTTTGCACCTCTAGATAACAGAGCCAGTTATAAGTAGATTTTCCAGCTTCTAATCACAAAAGAAAAAGAAAAAAGAAATGGTCTTTATAGTTATTATGTTAAATATATATACAAAATGCTTGTAATGCTTACTTTAGATTGTTAATTTGCTAAGTGTAAAAGATTTGCAAGTCTGGTAATGGTTTTCATTTATTTTACAATGAGACAGATTCTTATTTTCATTCTCGAGCCATATTTTATTACCATTTTCAAAAACGGTTTTGACCTTACATCTAAATGAAAGTGTCATCAAAGAATATGGAGGCTGAGAGTTAGTAACTGAATATGTCCAGCAGTTAAAGCACATTAACCATTAGAAACGTATCCATTGCAGATAGGCTCAGCTGTGAGGAAGGATCTCACACACACCCACGTACAAACACACAGGAGAGAAAAACCACATACACCTACAGGCCTCACACTGGTCAATTCTGCGACAACGATGGACTCCAACAGTTTATGGAGCTGATTCACTTTGACAGATGGTGCCTAAAACGCCCCACAGGCAGGGCCAGGGAGGAGTAAGCCTCGCCCCCGCACCCCCCAGGGGACACTGTATATGCAGGTACGGGGCTGAGCGCTCGGTGGGCGGTGCACCTCCCAGCCCTTCTGCTCGCACCCCAGAAGCAAACTGCTGCAGCGCCCTGATCGGCGCCTACGCCTTTGCACGTGCAGCCGCCTCTGCAACGCTCCGCAGGTCTGCAGTGGGCATGTGTCATGCTTGCTGGCTGCTCAGCATTGTTTGAAACCCTGCCAACATTCAGGGCGTCTCCTAACGAGGGAGTTCTTCCTCTCCAAGCCTTCCCACAGGCCCCGGGGGTGGGGGGCACTCATCAGTGGTCTAAGCCAGGGGTGGACAAACCAGGGCCCACCAGCCAAGTCTGGAGTAGCACTGCTGTTCATATGGCCACCACGAGCCATACAAATGTTTTTTAGGCAGACCCCGCTCAGACTCCGGCTGTGGGGGACGGTCCGGATTTTCAGTCACGAAGTCTGGGTAGGGACTTCTCCTGCAGCAACGTGGCTGACCAGCCTCTTTGTGTTTCGGGGTCAGGCTTCCAGGTATTTTTGCAGCGAGATGCTGCTCTCCATAGGAATGCTCATGCTGTCAGCCACACAAATATATACCATCTTGACCATCCAGCTCTTTGCATTCTTGAACTTACTGCCTGTAGAAGTGGACATTTTAGCATCTAATTTTGAAAATGTGACTCAGACGTTTGATGATCTTCCGGCGAGATTTGGTCATAGACTTCCAGCCGAAGGTTTAAAGGGTTTTTTGATTAACGCCAAACCAGAAAATGCCTGTGAACCCATAGTGCCTCCACCAGTAAAAGACAATTCATCTGGCACTTTCATCGTGTTAATTAGAAGACTTGATGGTAATTTTGATATGAAGGTTTTAAATGCACAGAAAGCAGGATACAAAGCAGCCATAGTTCACAATGTTGATTCCGATGACCTCATCAGCATGGGGTCCAACGACATTGATGTGCTGAAGAAAATTGACATTCCATCTGTCTTTATTGGGGAATCATCAGCTAATTCCCTGAAAGGCGAATTCATCTATGAAAAAGGGGGCCACATTATTTTAGTTCCAGAATTTAGTCTTCCTCTGGAATACTACCTAATTCCTTTCCTTATCATAGTGGGCATCTGTCTCATCTTGATAGTCTTTTTCATGATCACAAAATTTGTCCAGGATAGACATAGAGCTGGAAGAAACAGACTTTGTAAAGATCAACTTAAGAAACTCCCTATTCATAAATTCAAAAAAGGAGATGAGTATGATGTATGTGCCATTTGTTTGCATGAGTATGAAGATGGAGACAAGCTCAGAATCCTTCCTTGTTCCCATGCTTATCACTGCAAATGTGTAGACCCTTGGCTGACTAAAACCGAAAAAACTTGTCCAGTCTGCAAGCAGAAAGTTGTTCCTTCTCAAGGCGATTCAGACTCTGACACAGGTAGTAGTCTAGAAGAAAATGAGGTGTCAGGACATACCCCTTTACTTAGACCTGTGGCTTCTGTCAGCACACAGTCATTTGGGGCTTTGTCAGTATCCCGTTCACATCAGAACATGACAGAATCTTCAGACTATGAGGAAGATGACAATGAAGATACTGACAGTAGTGATGCAGAAAATGAAATTAATGAACATAGTGTTGTGGTCCAGCTGCAGCCTAATGGTGAGCGGGACCACAATATAGCAAATACTGTTTGACCTTCAGGGGTGATTGGGTTATTTCCCTTTAAAGTGTTTATTTAGGTCTATAATTTGATTTTTTTGCTTTCAGAGATTCCTGTAGAAATAACTTACTTTTTATTGTTCTACAGTTCAGATTGCTGAAACAGGTTTTTTTGATCTGGTATTTATCTGCAGGGGTGCACTTCGTTTCACTAATAACTAATAATAGACTGGTGCCGGAAGTCGGGCATCCGATCAACTCTCCTTTCGGAATGAAATAAAGCCACAACATTAAAGAAATTCCTCAGTATAGCTTTCAGCTAAGACCTAGATCGCAGTTATGCAAATGTTTCGTGTCATCACACACAAGGTCAGTGCTGTGGCCACCGAGCATGAGCCAGACCAACTCCCTCCTCCTTCAAGTCGCCTATAGAGTCATTGAGTTGGAACATGATCGTTCTGTTATTTGCCCAAATTGCTGTTAGTGGGACGCAACAAACTAATTTAGCATTCTTCCTATCGGCACCACAAAGAGGACTTTTTCCTTTCTATTCCCAAGTAGTCTTATCCTGATAGGAGTGGACTATATTAGTGTGCAGATTTCAAAGGTTTTTTTTTTTTTAAGGTTTTGAATACTACAGTGTTATTATGAATGTGACTCATCAACTAAAGTAGTAAGTCTCTGGACTTCACTGAATTTCGGTATCCTTACAAGTTTTGTGTTGTGATCAAACCAAAAGAAAATGCTGTGTAAAACTACCAAACTTCAGTAACTGTTAATACTCAGATCATAATACTCTGAAGGCAGGAAAGAATAATAAAGAGCATCTTATGCTAATAAGCCCTGCTAAACCATGTATAGAAGAAACTGTGTAAGTATTAGACCTGAAAATAATTGCTTATGTTTAACAGAACAAATGTATTTAAATAATGTATTATGAAAAGCTAAATTATATTATACATCATTGTAACTATGTAGAAAATAATACCTAATGTATAATGAAAATGCTAAGAGTTTTTATATGACCTTGTACGAAGGGAGTTTGAATGTTAATAAACACATTTTCCACTTAAAAAAAAAAAGTTTTTTACTGTTAAATGATTGAAAAAAATCAAAGGAAGAATAATATTTTGTGCCAGGTAAAATGATATGAAATTCAAATTTCAGTGTGTGTAAAGTTTTATTGGAACACAATCACACTGAACCATTTATAGAGTCTATGGCTGCTTTTGCTTATACCAGAAGAACTGAATAGATGTGACGGATACTACATGCCCTGCAAAGCCTAAAATATTTACCAGGTGGTCCTTTTCGGAAGGAGTTTGCCAATCATGGTAACTCCATTCTGTTCTCGGTTATGCTTGGGGGAGCAAGACACTCAGTTCTGGGTCAATGAAATACAAGGGGAATTTTTACACAGGGTTTCTGGGAAAGACTCTTTTTCTCTGATGAAAAGGAGATATGGGAGAATGCTTCTTTCCTGCCTTCAGAGGCTGTGGCAGCCACTTTGTGATCATGAAGGAAAAGCCAAGATAATCACGGAGAAACTGACCCAGATACTTTTGAGATGTTGAATTAACGAATCCTGGAACTTCCTACTTCTAGATTTCTTTCTATAATCAAGAGAAATATACTGATAGTTGGGCTTTCTGTTATTTGCAGCCAAATATATCCTAAAGTGTATGATTTGAAAAACAATTTTTAAAATTATAGCATATAATTCCTCTTATTGATGACCCATTACATTTTAAACATCCATGGGCATTTCCCCTAATTCTTTGCTGCTATAAATCATGGTTTTTAAAAAAATATTTTATAAAGTCAAACTTAAGGCTCACAAAATATGTAATTCAATTGATTTTTTTCTTTTTGCTTATGCCATTAAAATGCCTCCAAAAAAAAGACAAATAAAAGAAATTGTACTTCTTTAAAATATCGTCCAAACAACTCTTTCGTGGGATGCAAAATACACCCTTACTCCACACAGACAGAAAGAAATCAAAATCCCTGTTTATTTAAAATACAAACTCTGATTCCAAAAGTGATTTGAGGTACTTTTCAACACAAGTTACATCAGCAGCCAAGAATATTGAACGGGAGTTGAAATTGTGTAAAAGCATTTTTTCTTCTTTCTCATCAATTAAAAGTACCCTTAAATCAGAGATGATTTATATTTTTGAATTATTTACAGATCTAAACCCTTTGTCAAAACACACCCAAATGGTATCAGGATCAAAATGCTTCAAGGGGCAAAACTGTTTCTCCTTTTAGTATCATTAACCAGTGCATTGTGAAATTTTGCTGAAAAGCAAAGTCTCCCTTTTCCATGTAGCCACTCTGTGTGTCCCCTCCCTCACCTCTGACCTGCGTCACACCTGTCCCTTCATCTGGAGTCAGCTGCACTGATGTCCCTGGACTGGGCAAACCCAAGCGCAGTGCCTGGCATAAAGGAGTCAGTGCACCGGCTCATCTGCTGTTTGGAACCCAGGTCTGAAATACTATGGGGCTGACCTACCTATATTGACAGCAGTGATGTGTGACTTTAGAGGCCATCAGATTCCTGGGGAATTACCCTTAGCACAAAGTTTGCACGGACAGTTTCACGATCTAACGCCAGCGGGTTTTCCAATCAAGTTCTCTGAGCTCCTGGAAGATGATAGGCTTCTTAACATCTGTATATTTGTTTCTCTATTGCTAAAACAAAGATAGCAGAAAGAGCCACTACTTTGAGGAATTTTAAGCTGCTAAGGTGACTTTATAAAATAATGGAAGGAGATCTATTCCAGGAGATAGAACTTCTGTTTCCTGCAACCCTCTTGCTTTTCAGAGAAAGCCTTCTGGGAGATACTACTATGCAGTGAGGTGGGTAAGAACACGAGCTTAGAATTGGATAGAACTTTGCTGAGTCCCAGCTCTTCCCTTGGTACCTATAGGACTTGGGGCAAGTGATTTGACCTCTCAAAGCCTCAGTTTCTTCGCCAGCATCATTTGTGCCAGCCATGGTGTTAGGCCTGGGGATGCAGCAAGCAAGACAGAGGAAAAACGCATGTGTTTATGCAAAAAAAAAAAGGTAACTTTGGAGATTAGGGGTTAAAAATCGGGGTAAATGTTTCCTGGTCGTTTCTTAGTTTACTGAATAAATGGTGGCTGAGGGTTGTTACGGAGAGGTGAGGGAGAGAAGAAATGATGGAGGAGTGGGGAGTTTGGAACTGCCTTTGTGAGGGCAGGAGAGGAAGGGGCTGAAGGGAGACACAACTAGGCGTCAGATAGGGCCCAGGGCTGGGGCAGGGGCAAACCGCAGGGCCCCCAGGTGGTGGATTGCCCCAGAAGGCTCAAAGGAGGCCGCCAGCAGTTACGTGTCAGCTGGGGTTTAAAAAGGTTGTGTGACTCACTAAAGGTCACAGAGATTTTTACACGAGCCCACTTACAAGTCCAGTGCTCTGACGTATGACTTACCTGGGTCTGCCCAACTACATTTCCTTTGGGTCTCGCACTTGCAGTTTGCAAAAGCCCCTGGACCAGGTGATACCTGAAGCCCCTCGGTCCCCTAGGGCTTGTATCTGTAGGTTCTGACTCCAGATCCGATCTGGTTCCTGCTCCTTCTGCTGCATGGCCCTTTGGGCAAGTCATTCAAGCTCGCTGGCTCGTTTCCATAGTGAGACTGTTCCCGAGCTTGAGCGCCAACTTGCTGATTCTGAAGAGATAGCCGTACTGCTCTGATGAGCGCCCCCATTTACCGGGAGTTCCGCCGCCTTCACAGAACCCCCTACGCGAGCGGAGGGCCCCTCACTTCCTCATCATGTGAAGTCATTGCCAAACATGTAAATCACCGACCCACATTGAAGGTCCCTTGAATTGCATCGATAGCAGTTCAAGGCCACATCCAAACAAAGCAGAAAGCTGTAAAAGAAAATGACATGTCTTAAAGAAACACAGTAGAGAAAATGAAAATACATGCATGAGGCTGAGCCAAAGCAATCGAGAGGCGGACTGCGGTACACCGAGTAGCCGTCACGAGCCACCGGGGCCTTTCCCACGCAGCAGGGCTCTGTCTTCAGTGCACTGGACAAAATGCCCTCCGCCCGGCATGCAAGACTCCGTGAAGATTATTGTTAAGTCCGGGGAGTGCAAATCCCGGGGCAAAATACCTCTGAAACCGAAATCAGTCAAAGGGAGAAACAAAGCTTAAAACCCGTTTATTTCTTACAAACCGCAGTGCGGGCCGTCTCTTTCCTGTTCTGGTAGAAGTAAAACCAGCCCTCCCCACCCCTCTCAGGTTCAGGCAAGCCCTCCGTGGCCCGGGTAACAGATGGACTGCTCTCCACCCTTGAGGATGCAGATGCACCAAGGCCAGGCGAGATATTCTGGAAATACTACAATTTTACCCACAACTGCTTTGTAAGAAATGCCGGGGAGCCATACAAACAGCCTTTAATTCAGCAGGAACTCGAAGATCGGAGGCTGACTTAGGGTCCAGTTTGCAGCGGCGGGTGCACTTTCCCGACTGTCACGGGAGGGGATGGGTTTCCTTACAGGAGGCAGAAGGGGAGATTTTTTTGTTAACCGACATTAACCTATTTTCATCACTGTCTTTCCCGAACTTTCTATCCAACTGTAAGAGGCCAAGGCCTGGAGCCCCAGCCGCCCGAAGGCCGGTCAGTCCTCCGGGCTCGGGACGCGCGCAGCCCCGCCCGCCCCCCGCCCTGCGGCGGGCCGAGCCCCGGGGCCCCGGAGCCCGGGGGGGGGCAGCGCTTGGAGCCCCGGGCGGCCCCGGGGCGGCACGACCAGCGCGCCGGGCGCCGACTTCCGCTTCCCAAGCGCCGAGCAGCCCGCCGGCGACAAGGACGGAGCCCGGGGCCGCGGGCGCGTGCGGCGGGGCGGGGCGCCTGGAAGGCGGGGCTCTAGGGGGCGGGGCTCCGGGGGGGCGGGGCGCGCGGCCCGCGTGGTGGTGCCGCGGCCGCCCCCGCTGCCGAGCGGAGCCGAGAGCCGGCGGCGGAGCCCGAGCGGACGCGTGCGGTGAGCGCAGCGCGGGTCCGGAGCGCGCGGGCGGCAGCGAGCCTGCCGGGAGGAGCGGGAGGGAGCCGAGCGGCGGGCGCGCGCCCGGGCGGCCTGACCTTCCCGGAACGGGGGGCGGCCGGGCGCCGCCCACGTGCCGAGGACCTCGCCGCGCCCCGGGCTCGCGCGCTGCCGAGGCTGCCGGCGGGGGCTGCCCGGGGACCGGCGGGCTCGGCGGCGGGAAGTTCGGCCCTCCCGGGCGCCCCGGATGGGGACTCGCAGGCTGGGGGCCGACGCGGCGCGCGTCCGGAGCCGGGGGAGAGTCGGGGCCGCCCCTGCAGGCGGCGCCCGGAGGAGGGGCGCTCGGCCGTGGGCTGCACCCGGAACCCCGCGCCCCGGCCCAGGAGCGCGGCCGCCGCCGCCCAGCCGCCCCCTCGGCCCCCGCGGGCATCTCCCGCCGCGGTTCGTGGTCCCGGCGGAGAACGCACCCCCCCCCGGGTTCTCCCGCGCGAGGCATGGGCTCCCGGGTAACAAAGACGCGCGGTGGCCGCCGCGGCCCGTCCCTCCAGGTCGGAGCCCGTGCAGTTTGCCCGGTGCGCCCTCGCAGTCTGTGGGCGCCATTCCGGGCAGCGGGCGCGGAGCGGTGGAAACACGCCGGGCCGCCCCGCCGCCTGCAGGCCACACGTGTTCGCGAAGCCGCCTCCGGCTCGGCCGCGTTTGAACCGACTGCCCACGCCGAGTTAGTCTCCGTGCCCGTCGCTGCGTCCCGCCCCGTAGTTCTGGGGCACTTAGCTGTGGGGCGGAGGTGGCGCGTTTCTGGCTGCCCCCAAGGTGGATTCACACCGACGACACTACAGCCCGCGGTTCCGCTCCTAAGAAACGTCCACCCCAAAGGGAAGGCGCGCACGGAGAAGCCGCGTTAAGTGTGCCCCGGGTGAACGCCCCCTCTTGCCTCCATTTCCCTCCAAAATGCAGGGTGCGTGTGACGTTCTTTTTGGCCAGGGAATTAAGTACTGGACGGTAGACACAGACCTAACAGGGGCAAGTTGGGTGGAATTCTGCCACCGACGAGTTGTATGACGTTGGACAAGTCCTTTTCTTCCTCGGAAATTGTATTCCATCTGGAAAAAGATTAGTATCTCTGGATGCCAGATGGCCACCACCTTGTCACCCTCAGTAATTGGCACCACATGGACGAGACGATCAACAATGTGAATCAGTGTTGTGCCCCTAACTTAGTTGCTTTAAGTACAGCGCTTATGTTGCTAGTATAAAAATTCTTTTTTTTTTTTTTTGTAAAGAAAGGAAGATTCATGGTGTCTGTCTGACAACATGCTCCAGGTAGTTAAAAAAAACTTCTTGGAGGCTACAGTTATTTCCTGCTGATGTTTAGGATTACATTTGTGTCCCCCACCATCTGGTCCACCCCCCACACAACTCTGAGAGGTGGCTGGACGGGAGTCGCAGGTCTTCAGCGTGAGGACTAAAACCTGCTCCTTGTTATTCACGGATGCATCATCTTCTAGTTTGAAAACCAAACAGTTGGCTGCAAAATTGGTTGTTTTAAGTAACCAAGTTCCCTGTCCTCTAGTCAATATCGATGAAGTCCATGCCTCAAGAATAGCTGACTTTTGTCTAAAGGTAGAGGAATAGACTCCCCTTTTCCTGGACTTCCGCTCCAGGCCAGACATGCTGAATTAGGGTTCCCAGGAGACCGGCCTGGCTGTTTGAGTAGTTGACACGTGGCCCAGGTGGTCCTTGTCAAGCAAATTCGGGACACAACGGACGAGGTGTGTCCTCTCAAAGTGAGGTGGGTGGCCAGGGATTGTCAGCCTCTTTGGGAAGCATGTCAAAACAGGCTGCATTCCGGTCCTACCTGAGGCCCTTGGCTCTAGAATCGGCATTTTAACAAGGTCCCCAGGGGCTGGGTGCCCACTTACGGAGGAGAAGCCGGGAGGGGCTGTGGGGCTGAGAGCTAGTGTCTCGTACTGTGCTTTGCAGCTGCAAGAACACTTTCCTGCTCACAGTTCTTCTTCACATCTGTCCAGAGGTGGCTGTCTGTGACTGTCTTTGGGTTATCATGGTACTTTCACTCTTCACCGTGTTTGGATGGGGACCCCCAGCTTTGGGGGCAGAGCAGGCAGGTATTCAGACCTACCCGGTCCTTTCCAGACGTACTGTTCTGTGACCTCCTCTCAGGGACCCAGCACGGACTGCTGTCTTAGTTTAGAAGTGAGCCTAGTGCACTGAGTTACCTTAGGCCTCTGAACAACCAGTTTGATGTGGCTTGGGCTGTCTGGTTGGCTCACGCACTTGACGTCCATTTCTGAGCTTTGCAGGAAGATTGGTTGAAGCTCCTGCCGGTGGCTGTCACATTGACACTCTGGGAAGGTTTTTGATCTGTGAACTTTTTGTGGGGTGGTGGTGGGAGGGGCGGAGGGCAGGCCAATCGCTAAGCTGCACTGATAATGAGGCCCTGCCCTTTGGAGCCATGTGGAGCCCTTCTCAGAAATTCATGCCCAGTGGCCAGGCAGCAGTTCCCGGGAAGGGAAGGCCGCTGAGGCCCGGCTTACGGTGATCTCTCGCCTCCTCCCAGGGACATGAGGCGCCTGTTGTAGTTCCGAGAGAACTGCCGTCCTGGGGCCCGGCAGAGGAGGGGGCCGTCATGAAGTCCAGCCCTGCCATCCAAGCTGCCATCGACCTCACGGCAGGGGCCGCAGGTAACTCCAGAGAAAACCCTGTCTTCTGTTCAGGTACCTTCCACTAGTGAGGTCAAGTCAAAACACGGTGAAAATATTACCTTTGTCTCTCCGGGGGCAATGTGCTTCAACCCTGGAGATCCATTTAACGGACGTGTGTGCTGCACGCAGCGCAAGGTAGAGCGGTCCCCCGTGCTGGGGGCCAGGGTGTAGGGTGGGAGCGTCCCTGCTTCACAGGTGGAGGACGCGGCAGCTCAGGGCTGAAGGCACCTTTCTGTGGTCAGGTGGCTGTGATATACAGGTGACGTGGGCTCCGCTCCGAGCCCAGCAGTGTTCAGGACCCTCAGAAATACCACCAGGAGGTGTCTCCAGAGAAACCCCGTTCCTGTCCTTATGACAGCCCTTTAGAGATGTCTTTGGTCAATGGGTCTAACGGTCGGCTGTCCTAGAACCCTGAAAGGAAAGGGGAGGCCCTAGGCGTGGCTGGGGATGGTGGGTTGAGCGTCGGGGCGAGCTCCAGGGCAGACTGCAGCCCCTGGGCACGAGCGACTCTTAAGAAGGCACACAGGTCACTCTTCAGAAAAATAACCCTGCTCAGCCTGAGGCATGTGGCAGAGTTGGAAGTTCGTGGGTTGAACGTGGCTCTGCAGATTCCTGGTGTGTTCTAGGGCCAGAGGAGCCGTGATTGAACACCCATACTTCCCAGCTGAGCCCGTCACCCTGCTGCCTGCACAGACTGTCCTATAGGGTCGCAGTGCTGGGGGGTGGAGAGGCCTGAGGGGTGGGCTGCCCGCTGCCTGTCCACTGGGACCTCCTGGGTCCGGGGTCCGAGCAGTCAGAGGCTGCCTTCCCTCTTCCTGTCATTACCTTAATGGTAAAAAAGAAATAGTGGTTCAGAGAAGAGTGAAGTCTTTCTTTCCCCAGGAGCCAAAGGTCAGCCCAGGCAGGCTAATGAGGAAGGTGGGGACGGGCAGCACAGACGCTGTCAGGAAGCCCAGGCAGCGGCTCCCCGGGGGGGACCGTGGAGAGGGCCTGCCGGGCGTGGGGCTACGGGCTGCCTGGGTCCTGCCACAGCGGCCTGTAGCCTGACGGCTGCCTTTACGTCAGCCCCTCGCCCTGCTGAGGACTTGAGCCGCAGGCCCCCAGGCCCCGTGCGGCATCCTGCCCCCTCCCTCCGTGCCATGCAGACCGTGGGGACAGTGGCCCCATTTACATGCCCCTGGTGTCCTCTTACGGTCCCGTGAATGCTCTGGGCTCAGTTTTGTCTCTTCAGCAGGAGGGTATTTAACCACATGGGAGATTCTCAGCTTTTGGAATTAAATGTCCTTCAGTCAGTCTGTTTCCGTCTATCAAAGGTGTAGCTCTATTGTGATAGAATTGAAAAGCTTCCTTTTCCTATAAAGGCATTTATGTGTGGACAGGTATTTGGGGCCACATTTGTGACTGACAGTAGATATTAAAAGACGTAAATTGCAGCAGTGCTGGGAGTCGCTGTGTAAGGCATTTGCTTCTTTACGACGGTATGGCATGTATGGTCCTTATCCATACCAGCACTGAGGTTTCCCGATGACGGGGGCAGGTGTTCCGCACTGCCCTGGGGTGTCTGACTTTGGAGGACAAGAGGCTCCTTTGCGGGGGTCTGTGGACTCCGCCTGGCAGGTGACCTAAGGACTTTCTACTGGAGGCGCCTGGTGTGCAGACCAGAAACCTCAGTCCACTTGGAGGGGTCTCGGTCATTGAATGATGGAGCCGAAAGGGCCTTCAGAGACTGCTGGCTCTTCTGCTTGCAGATGTCGAAGAGGGGCCAGAGAAGGACAGCAGCTCTGTCCAAGGCCGTGCAGCTGGAGGGCGCGGACAGAACGCGGACCCCGGGTGCTTGGGCCTTGTCCTGTTGTCTGTTTTCCTGGGGGACGCATGCCTGAGGTGGGGGTTGGGTTGGAGCCCTCACCACCCAGCTCTTTGGATTTGGGGGTTTGCGGCCAGCCGTGGCCAGGGGCAGAGGACCCCCATTGTTTTGTGGACACGGCTCCCCACGGATGTGGTTAGTACGGAATAGCAGAGCCGATCCAGTGCGAGGTGCTGTGGGGAAGCGTCCAGGCGTCCTTTGCTCTTACTGTCTCGTGAGCTGAGCAGCCTGACATCTGTGGAATCTAGAGCCTCCGCTCTGCGGCGCAGCAGCTGTGTTTGGCTAGTGTGACCGGGGATGTGCGGATGGAGTGGACCGGGCCCTTCTGGTTGGAGGTCTGCTGCTCGGCCTTCTCCTCTGCCGCCCGCGAGCTGTCCTTCCTCGCGGACGCTGCCCCCTCCCCAGTAGATTGCCTCAATGTCTCATCGCTCGCTCACCCCGCTGTGCTGAGGACTGAAAACCCACAGCATCACCGTGGCAAGGGTGGAGGGTGATGCGGTCTGAGCGTCTCTCTTGTGGAGTGAAATGCAGGGCCAGGTGTGACCCCCGTGGAAGCATACAGAGGCCATTTCCATTCGGCTCTTACAGAGAAGGAGGTGATTGGAGGCCTAAGCGCTGAACAAGCGGAAAAGTATTTAATTACGATACGTTACTTACATTTTCACTGACTTGGCAGATTTTAGGACCTGCTAGGTCGTGGCACTCGGTGGCTTCAGAATGGCTATCACCCACCTGGAGGCACGGTGAACACCTGCTGGTGCCAGCTGTGTGGGTTAAGTTCCATGGGCCAGGAGCTCAGTGCCCTGGACGAAAGGAGAGAATCATAGCCAGCATTTGAAAATTCATTAGTCTCCCGCCTTCTTACTGGGAATGCAACTATTACAGACATGCAAACAATGCATACTGCAATATGACCATAATCTCTGAACTGTTTAGGATGATGGTGAAAATATGGAAAACTTCCAGTTAAAATATTTGTGCATGCCTTATTCAGTTTATTTGCATCTAGGTTGTCTAAATTATCCACCTTAAAAATTCTGACAGTTTCAACCCATGAACTTCCAACTCTGCCACGTTTACCTCTTTGGGGATTTAAATTATTTTGATATAATGAGGATCTTATTTTATTCTAGCCCGTCAGTACCTGGGACCAAATACCCTAATTATAATCACATTTATTAAATTCCACTAGTTCAGACTTGAGGATGATGTGGCAAGACACAGCAGAAATTATCATTGCTCTCCTAGAAGAAATGGATAATAGCATAGGGTCTTGGAGGTCACACTTGTGATTGCTTAAGAGGTCAGTTTTCAGATTCCACTGGAAATGTCTGCTTATCTGCCAATAATTGGGAATTGTTCTTAACAGCCCTATTTTCCACGACCTACTTGGAGTGACTGAACGATGTCCAAGTTATGAAATTGCATTTCTTAAATATTTTTTGCGAGCCTGTCCTTCAACTGTGATAAGACTTGAGTAATATCGCCCAAAGGTCGTGTTACCTGACGCGAGCAGGGGACGTCTCTGGCCCGGTGGCCTCTCAGGCCCAAGGAAGGTGGAGCATTAAGCAGCAGCTGTTCCCAGAGTGCTGGCCCGGCCGGGGTCTGGGGACAGCACGGGTCGTTAGAATACATTCTCTTCCTTACGTTCAGAAATTTGACTGAAGTGATTAACACCGTGTGGGATTTTCTGTATTTAATGCTCTTAAGGTGTAAGAGCATATAAATATATGATTTATGCTCATCAGAGTTGTACTTCGGTGCATTCCCTCTCTGAATACAAACCATTAATTGGTAGAGTTCAAGTAAGAGGTTTTTTCCATAGAGTTGAACGTTTAGCTCTTCAGGGATTAATCAGCCGGACTCTTTTCGTCTTTATCCCGTTGCCTGATCCTCTGTGATTTTTCTGTTACAGTAATAGGTACCCCTGGGCGTTAGGCAAAGAGGAGTGATTAACTCTTCCCAGACTCCCCCTGCCTCTCCTGTGTATTTGGGGTACACACACACGTGTGCAGTAACTATTAACACTTGTGTAGCAGCCAAGTTAGGCTAAGTCTCCTCATCCATTTTTTTTACTTAGTTCTCACACTAACGCAGTGAGCAGTCGAGGGTCTGGTGCTGCATTGCGTGTCCGGGATCTCACAGCAGAGCCACGCTTCCAGCCCAGGTCCCTCGGACCCCTTTCCCAAGGCTCCTAAACACACACCACACTTTGCATCGTGGGGCTTTGACTTGAACACACCTGTTTTCCTACCTAGTGGCAGCAGCGTCAGGGCTGGAGCTGCGTGCCGGTACACTGGGGCCCCTAGGAGTCATTTACTGGGGTGTTTGGCCAGGAGGCAGGGAGGAGAAAGAGGTCAAATGAACCGAAGCAGAGGTGGGCCCCGGGGCAGGCGGCCTGCCCCCGCTCCGCAGCTCACTGTGTGCTAGGCCACAACAGCCGGCCTGTGCTGGAGAGGGCTTCTCTCCTGGTTGCAGGGGGCACAGCGTGTGTCCTGACCGGGCAGCCCTTCGACACAATGAAGGTGAAGATGCAGACATTCCCCAGCTTGTACAGGGGCCTCTCCGACTGCTGCCTGAAGACCTACTCCCAGGTGGGCTTCCGGGGGTTCTACAAGGGGACCAGCCCGGCGCTGATCGCCAACATCGCCGAGAACTCTGTTCTCTTCATGTGCTACGGCTTCTGCCAGCAGGTGGTGCAGAAAGTGGTGGGACTGGACAAGCAGGCTAAGCTGAGGTGAGTTGGGGACACAGTTGCTTTATCTGTTTGGTTAAAAAAAAAGATGACACCGCTGTACAGCTGAGATTTGTATGATACCTTATGGGGAAGAATATTTCCTTTCTTAAAATCACTACTTTCTTTCTGATTATGAAGACGCACACTGTTACTGTTTAGAGCTTGGGAAACATGTTTCATGCAGGAGAAGAATTGCATGATCCACCGTGGAGAAGAAATGCTGGGACGGGTTGGTGTTCTGGGAAGACGCTGTTCACGTGCTCACTGGGTGCTGGCTCTGCGGTTGCGTTGCTGGCCTGACACCAGAGGTGCACCTGTGAGCATGCTCGGGTTCCACTTCAGCAAATGTGCAGTGTGGGGGGAAGCTGCCTGAGCCACGTGGGCTGGAGGAGAAACTTGGAATTTTAGGAGGCATCCAGCGCATCTGAGCAGGCGCAGGGGAACCCACTGCTTCCTTGGCCGCGTCCACCCCAAACGGCAGACCTTGGCTCGTGCTTGCTCGTCCCTTAGGCAGTCATCACACGGAGACTAAAAAGAATTCAGAAGCCGCTAGGATGTGTGGCCATCCTGCCTCAGAACACTGAGTCGTTTTAAATCACTTAAAATCATTGTTACCAGCTTCGTGGCTGCAAAGGCCTCCCCCTTGGTTGTTTCAGTGGGACTTGGGAGGCCCTGTGGGAAGCGCGGGCCCCACAGGACTGAGGCAGGTTCCTTCCATGCAGTGTTCTCTGGAGGTGCCTGGAGGTCTGAAGATGGGCCTTCTGTGGGCCGGAAGCCTGCCTTGGTGGAGGGACGCCATCTCGGTCATGAAGGCTTGGGACTGGGGGAGCCCACCCAGGGAGGGGGCGCCTGGGGAGGGCTGCGCACTGGTGCTGCGGCCTCCCAGCACAGGGGGGCCGGGGGGGGAAGGAAGTGCTTGGAGAGACTGGGAGTGAGGGCGTCTTCAGCATCCCCAGCGCGGCACAGGTCAGGGGCGAGGACGGAGGCAGTGAGCAAGCGTGTGAGACGGAGGAAGTGCTGAGCAGGGCCCCATCTTCACCCCGGGCCCCCCGGCACTTCTCATCTTCTCCCTCCGGTAGGACAGTGTTGCTGGTTCCCTGGGGAAGCGCAGCTTCGAGCTTAGGCTCTGACGCGTGCCGTGTGTGGTTAGTCGCCCACCGTGGTCCTGTCCCTCTGACACAGGACACCGGAGAGGTGCTGACGTGTTCACGGCCACGTGCTCTGGGCCGACAGCTGAGCAGCTGGAGCAAGCCCCCGTCCTCGCGGCTCTGTCCGTGTTCCTTCCGGGACCACAGCTGGGGCGCTGGAGCCTTCTTGGGGGGGTCAGATCGCAGAAAAGACGAATGAGCAGAAGGTGAAGAACCCGTGCGACCTCCTGCAACAGCGTTGTGAACGTTTGTCTGCCTCGGCTTGAACGCCCCCGGGTCGTGTTCTCCTTTGCCCTTTGGATGGGGTCTTGTAGCAGGAGTGTTCAGGCACACGTGTGCTGCACGGGGGGCAAGCAGGTGGTTCTTACAGAATCCCGTCCTGTGCCTGTTGCTGTTCCAGCTCCAAGTGCTCTCACCGTGGCCACGTGGGACCCATGGCTCATTTAGTGCCCTGGGGGATGAAAGCATTTACGAGGCAAAGTCCATTGCGCATGTGACGCGGCCCTGCCCTTGCACAGGCATCTGGGCCAGTACTGCATCTCAGTGTCAATAGACACCTACGTTTATCGATGCCGCCTCTGTCCTGGAAAACTTGGCAGACTCCGGTTAATGACCCTGGTACTGCCTGACAGCAGGCTGACCAAGTCCCTGGGGGAGGCCAAGTATGGACGTGGCTGAAGGAACCCATGCTGAGCTTTGGTTCTGGCAAACGAGCTAAGTGGGGGTGCGTGGGAAGGGATGGAGGCTGCACGCAGGCCCCCTGCCCTGGGAGGCTGTGAGACTGTCCCCCAGGGAACTCCTACTGGGTCCCAGCTCCAGGCCCCATGGGTGACTGCGGCAAACACTTCTGTTCTTATGTTGATGCACGTTCACGCCTCCATTTAGTTTTCCAGCTCAGCCCTTCTACCTGCAGCCACCCAGCTCGCCGCCTCCCGCCGGCTTCCCTCTCTCCCCGGGCACCGCGGCGCCCTCCCTGTGCCCTCTGTGTTGCTGAGGCAGGAGGTCACCAGCCAGACTGGGAAGCCTTCCTGTCCTGAGCAGCTTTTTGGTTACGAAGTCACCCCGGGTCTTCATCTGTGGCAGCGACCTTGCCGGTCTGATTGCTCCAGGCTTTGGGACATGCAGGGGCGGCCTCAGAGCCTCCTTTCATTTAAAGCTCGGTGGTAAATGCACCGGAGTGTTATGGTGCCTGTTGCTGGGTGGTGGGGCTCGTGGGTGATATTTTTCCTCCTCCGGGGTTTTTGGTTGGGTTTTCTGTGCCGCTGTAACAAAGTGCCATCGACTGGGAGGCTCAAACAACAAACTCGTCTCTCAGTCTGGAGACTGGCGAGTCTGCGGTCGAGGTGCTGGCTGCCTTGGTGCCCGGGGGCAGCTCTGCTCCTGGCCTGCAGGGGCATCTGCCCTCTCACCGTGCCCTCACGTACCAGGGAAGAGCACGAGCTAGCACTCTGGTGTCTTCCCGTGAAGGCACCTGTCCCATGAAGACTCCACCCTCGTGACCTAACCATCTAAACCTAATTACTTCCCAAAGCCACCCCCCCCCGACAATACAGTCACACTGGGGGCCAAGGCTTCAGTACAGGAACTTGGGGAGGCAGGGCACACATTCAGTCCGTGACCCTCTAATAAGCAGAGCGTGGATTTTGCTGTCAGGCCGACATGGGGTGGAACTGCACTGCCCTCCAGTAGCTGTGTGAGGTTGGGGACGTTACGTACCCTCTCTGTGTCGTCATTTTCCCACATGGGCATTGGGGTGTTGCTGAAGGACCCTTAGCTGAAACGACGTCGCGGGTCCCTGTAGGGAGCTCAGGGGGCCCGTCTCTTGCTCCTGCCCCCCTGGGGCCACATGGTGGGTGCCCCATGAAAGAACAGCCAGGCAAGTCACAGGTCCCCTGCGCTGTGTCCTTCCAGTGACCTGCAGAACGCGGCCGCCGGCTCCTTCGCCTCTGCGTTTGCTGCGCTGGTGCTGTGCCCCACTGAGCTTGTCAAATGCCGGCTGCAGACCATGCATGAGATGGAGACGTCTGGAAAGATCACCAGAAGCCAGAAGTAAGTGCTGCTCGGGCACAAACCTCAGGGCTCTGTTGCCTTGGAGTACTGAGTGTCTGAGATTTTATACTGTCCTGACGTCAGGTGGCAGATAGAGAAGCACACTTGCTACTCCAAAACGCTGTGTTCCTAGAACACTTTCCCCCATCAGGCAGAGGACAGTTTTCTGAACGGACTGTCTGTGATGGCTGAACCAAGCCCCCCACCCCACAGGATGTTGTGGGCAGACATTTAATAGCCCGGAAGCAGAGGAGCCAGGAGCTTATGTCCACCCCCCTTTGGCCTGTTGAGTGCAGGAGACACGCTCACCGACTGTATCTGGAGGCACAGGGCAGACGGGTTTGGAACCATGTCCGAGAGCTGGGCGTTCATACGTGCCCGCTGGGATTCTGAGGTGAATGTTTGAATCCTGTTCCCAGGTTTCACACAGGCTGGTCACCCCAGATCCTGGTGCTACCTTCCTTTACCTTCCTCTTGAATTCTTCTACACCTGCAACGGGCCCCCGTTGTGGAAACCTCAGCAAAACTCCTGAGGGCAGCTGCTCTTCAGTGATGACATCGATGTCCGGCTGAGTCTAGAAACGAGTCCCCTGACCCTGGTAGGGGGGCACATATGCAGTGACTTACCTGAACTGTAAAGCAATTTGTTGTCCTTACTGATCTCAGAACTTTCTTATTTATCTTGACATCTGGTTGACTGAAGTTTTGGTCGTGGACATTGCTGTGGTTAATTAGCTCAAAGCCTGTACGTCTGCTGGGAAAAACCAGTAATGGGACCATTTTCAGAGGGATAGGCCCCCCCCAGTGAGGATGGGGTTTTAAATTTCTGCACCTTTATGATTCATTACGACCAACTCGGATCTATTATGCAGAACTTAGAGGTCCAAAAGTATGTCTTTAAAGCTTTTTGTTGAAGTACAATGTGCACACAGAAATCATAGGTGTGTGGTTCACAAAACGAACATGCCTGTGTGACCACTGCCCAGATTAAGGAATAAAACACTGACACCACCCAGAAAGCTGTCTTCGTGTCCCTTGGAACTGTTTAAGGTGTTTCTTTTAAGAAGTGATTGTGAGATCCAAAGGACTTGAGCGAATGGACCCCTGACACCAAAGTAGATACTGGCCGACTGCATTCCAAGCAGAGCAGGGCCCATCCTGGGGCGACGTGCCGCTTGGATTCTGAGACCTGGCTTGGAGGGCAGCTGGCTGTGCGGAGTTGGGGCCGTTTTATTTTGTTACGTCGCAGTTGCAGAAGGGAGCAGTGTGTGGGAAGGACTGGCTACCGAGGACTGCCTGGCGAAGCCTCCTGAGGTCCCCAGAAGGAAGGGGTCCTCACAGGCAGACCCTTATTACCTCCAGGCCAGGTCACCTGCCAAGAACAGTGGGGAGTGAGGGCTCGCCAAGCTGCACCACGCCCGGAGGGTCTGGCGCTGTTCCGAGGGATGAAGCCCACCACGGCGCATGCCGTCCCACGCGGAGTCGGGGTGCAGTGTCTGCTGCGGGGCTCCGAGCTGCTTCAGATGAAAGCCTCACAGGCACTTGCCTTCTAAGCACTGAATTCTCGGTGCCTCTTGCTTTACAGGAACCTGTAGCTCGGTTCTTAAATTTCTTTCTCCACCAAGTAACATTTATCCCCTTGCTCACCTCCCTGCACTCGACAGAACAGAACAAGCCCCAGACACCTGGCCAAATCCCTCAGAACACCAGCTCAAAAGGGAGGAGGCAGGGAGGGAGGGACCTGGGCAAACACAGTGCCATTGATTCTTGCCCCGTTTGGACAGTTCCTTGTAACTCACTCACCATTGAAAAATGGCTATTAGCTCTTTATCTAATATCTGCAATAATAAGACTTCTGGAAATGTGTGAACGAATGCCCTTTAATGAAGCTCCTTTGCCAGAGAATAGTTCAGGTGGTCGAAGCTGTCATTCAACAGTGGTGTCTTTGCTTCTGGTAGAAATTTCCTTCCCACAGGCTTTTATGCTCAGAGTCCAGTTCCTCTGTCCCAGGTCAGCTGCTGACTGCGGGTGGGCGGTGAGTCGGCGGGATACGTGACCGCCCCGCGTCCCTGCCCTGACCTGCCTCTCCCCGTCTGCTCCCAGTACAGTCTGGTCTGTTGTGAAGAGCATCCTTAGGAAGGAGGGTCCCTTGGGCTTCTACCAGGGACTCTCGAGCACTTTACTTCGAGAAGTACCTGGCTATTTCCTCTTCTTTGGCGGCTATGAACTGAGCCGGTCATTTTTTGCATCAGGAAGATCAAAAGATGACCTAGGTAAGTGTTCGCGTGGACGGCAGTTGGGTTCGAGCATCTGGGCTTCCCAGTGGCGCCCCCTGGGGGTCTGCATGCAGGACGGCAGTGAGCGCCTCTCCCTCTGGGCACCATCCCGTCCTCGGGATGGGCTGCAGCAGTGCAGGCACACCTCACTGGGATGTTTGTTAATTTGCTGTGCATCCATTTTAGGGGAGAAGCCCCGTTCCCTGTGGGGAGCCAGCAGTAAATGGGGAATCCCCTCACAGTAAGCTCAAAACCTGGGGACACATCTTGGGCGTGTTTTGAGGGCAGTGAAGGTACAGTTCTTTCTAGCGCGGCCCGTTCTGCTGTTGGACACAACTGCATCCATGTCGACTCATGGGGCTGATTCCTTTTAAACACCCCCCCCAGTGTTGGGGACCTCTCCTGGGCTAAGTGCTGTTTAATAAGACGGCTCCGGTTTCCCGTGGTGAAGGAAGGAAGAATCAGCTGTGGGGCATTAAAATGCTGCAGCAGGTCAGAGTGACAGAGTGAAAGGACGCGGCCTGGGCTTCAGCGGCCTCTGTTCCCGGTCTTCACGGCAGGCCTGCCCACCATGCCAGGGCCTGTTCTGCGGTGATGCAGGGAGGCCCAGCTACCAGACGGAAGCCTGTGCAATCTGACACCCCCTCCGAGAATCACGTCCCTGGGATTTCTGTTGGCACCTGCCTGCCGCTGCTGTTGCGCTGAGCCCTGGGACTGTGGCACTGGCTTGTCCCAAGGCCACCTGTTGGCTAACTTTCTTCTCAGGCCCCGTCCCTCTGATGCTAAGTGGTGGAGTTGGTGGAATCTGCCTCTGGCTGGCTGTTTACCCAGTGGACTGTGTCAAATCCAGAATTCAAGTTCTTTCCATGTCCGGAAAACAAGCTGGATTTATCGGAACCTTCATAAGTGTTGTGAAAAACGAAGGTGAGTCAGCTGTCGGCCGAAGCAGAGCCGTGCACAGAGCGGCCGTCTGCCGGCTGGCGTGCCGGGTCCAGGTGGATTGGCACGGGCCTCCTGCCTGGTGCCCTTGTTCTAGCTGTGCGTGTTATCCATGTGGGTGGGTTTCGGTTTCTAAGCCACTTTCTTTAGCATACTTTCGTTATTCTCAGGAATGTTTAAAGTCCTTATTCCTGACGTGTAGACCGGGATTCTTTGTTCTAAGTGGCCTGGAGGAATTTTTAAAATACAGACTTTGTCTAAGGAGACACGAGTTTTGAGGTTAGCACCACTCGTTTTACATAACAGATATTTTCAGAAGATGACTTCTAACAGAAACCCTCAGGGATTTCAAAGAAGGTACAATGCCTCTAATGCTAAGTCTTCTGGGGTTAGAAATGCACTAAGTGATTTCTGAAGGTGATCAGCCACCAATTTTGAGGGTATACAGGAGGATAAAGATTTTCCAAGTAATGTTTGTATCAAGCCAGCTTTACACCAGTAGTAAGTGAAGCCCTGTCCTTCCCGCACGTACAGCTTAACCCTGGGACTGTGAGATTGTCTGGATTTTAAAAGGGAGAACACAGCAACAGTGTACAGAAACTGTTCCATTTCAATCCCAAATAGAGCACCGCGTCGTGTATATTCCTAGCAGTGACCCCTCTTTAAATTTGCCTGACCCCCTGTGGTTTTCAGAGCACTCCCCCTCCCTTACCTGATTAGATCTTCATTACCACAGTGCTGGCGCCAGAAGCTGGTGTCTGACTTCAGGGCCAGGCTCTTGGCTTCGCGGCCCTGCGGCTGCCTCCCCATGGCCCTGTGCTGCCCCGTCTGCCCCCGTGAGCCCGCAGCCCTGCCCAGCCCACTCACCAGGAGCTAACCGGGCATCAGCCAGCTGTTCCGGGACGCTTGATGGGACGCTTGTCCTTGTTCGGTTAGTTGTTAGTTCCGTTAGTCCAGGGAAATTTGGGAGTGAGTCCTTCCATCACCTGTTGGGTTCCGGGCGTCGTCTGGATGTAAGTGCAGGAACACCTGTGCCGTGCAGCTTCATGGGATTTTTCCAAGGAGGGGTATCTCCGTCTTTGACCGCCCTGTGTCTTCTAGGAGTGACGGCCTTGTACTCTGGACTGAAGCCTACGGTGATCCGAGCATTCCCTGCCAACGGGGCGCTGTTCCTGGCCTACGAGTACAGCAGGAAGCTGATGATGAACCAGTTCGAAGCGCACTGAAGCGCTCTGGGGAACCAAGAGCAGAGCGCGGGCGTCTGGGGACGACGGCAGAGCCCTTGTTCCCTGGTCTCCCCTTATTCTACCCTAAATCTTAATGGAAGGGCCTCTGTTTTGTGTCATATCATACAACTTCTGCCCATCACTGTTCTGAAATAGAAAGGTTGCTGCTCTTGTCCTCGGTGGGACCTTTCAGGGGGTGCTGCTGGCCCCAGTGAAAGGCTGCGTGTGGTTCTGTTGGGTTTCACATGCACCGGCGTGTGCTCTTGCAGTCTGGATGGCTGTGTGTGGCTGCGTGTGGCTGAGTGCTGAGTGAAGCGCGGTTTGGTTGTGTGTGTCACATCAGATCACACCAGAGAAGCCCAGAGGTGCCACGTTTGTGACGGTCACATGCGATCGATGAGCCTATTCTAGTTGTAGGGTCCCTTTAAAATCTGCTTAGCATGTGCACTGTACTAGGGGATTACAGTTTTTAAAAAGTTTTCCTGGGGTGCTTGAAAACTAAAATTCCATCTAGATTTTGAAGAGGACAATATACGTGCACACTGGTGTGGCTTCCACGTTCCTGATTTAAGTTGTGTGGGCATCCTGCATTCTCCCAAGGGGCTCTGGTGTTAAAATAGTGCCATTCATTCTGAGGTGGGACCATATTCCACTCTGACACCTGCTGGATGTGGCCTTGGGCGTCAGGCCCTGGGGAGGCAACCTGGCCTGCATGCGGCCAGCATCCCTCTTCCTCTCCCAACGAGCTGCCCTCTGCCAGGCTTTAGGCGGAGGAGGGGCTGAGCTACTCCGCTGTGTGAAGGCCTCGCGGTGGACCACCGCCCTTAGCTGCTTCTCTGGGCCCTGGCCCAGGCAGGACTCCGGAGTAGGCTGTTGGACTGTCCACGGGCTGTTGACCTACTGTGGACACTCACTCGCTGGAAACCCTTCCGAGGAGCAGAGCCCTTGTTCTCTGTCTGGTACCGAGTGATGGTGCCTGCGGGCGACGTGAAGCCCTCTCCTCCTGGAACTGGACAGAGCACAGCGCTCGCACTCCACAGCGAGTAAGGTCGGCGCTGACCCGTCTGAGTCCGTGACTCCTGGTCACGCTTCTACAGCATCACAACCTTTCACGTTTGGAACTGGCAGTCAGTGAATTTTGTTGATAATTGTTTAAGGGGTATGACTGTAAAGCAGTGAAACAAGACAAGTGGCCATAGGAAACCGCGCCACGTGCTCACACAGCGGAAGAGCCCGTCCATCCGACGCCCGCAGACCCAGGGATGGGCGGTGTTGGGCAGTGCAGTGCAGGAGGCCCTTCGTGTCACCACCGAAGCCGGCCTCAGCCTTCCGTGCTGGTGCAGGGGCTTGGCGAGGAGTGTCCTCACAGCCTGACATCCTGCCGGCAGGAGTGCAGACCTCGTGTGACACCTCTGCCCTCCTTGAGCCTTGTTCTCTGCGGCGTCTGGTACCTGGCACGTGCAGAAGCCAGAGGCTCGGGGAAGCAGGATGCCGACAAACGGCTGCGGGACAGACGTGGCAAACGTGCAGAGTGGGTGCTTCGTGTCTGTGTTCTGGTGCTGTGACTGGTCTTCATTTGCTTAAAAAATTTTTTTTCTGCCTTTTCTCTCCATACTTAAAAGGTTGGTAGCTACTGAGTGGTGCTTCATCTGAACAGGCCCGGACTGAAGCAAAACAGAAAACGGGACTGGCTTCTGGCAGGAAGCGAGCCGCCTTAGAGTTCGTGGTCCCCTGCTGCGGGCCGGGAGCCCATCCGTGTCAGCCCTTTGCCAGGAGACCTCACACGTTGTCCTTTAGAGATTTAACTAAACATCTTCAATAGAAACCTTCAGAGGCAAGTTAAGACTAAGTGGGAATAAGGAAGGAACTTAAATCGGGAATATCTTCTTCCATTGGCTTCATTCATGGTTCAGTATTTGGGTACATTTTGTACCTTTTCAGATCTGTACTCCAGAGAAATAATAGAGTAACTTGAAATACTGTGTTTAAGAAATTCAAGAGTTCTATCATTAAATTATGTACCTAATATTTTTAAGTGTACAATGCATTTTTAAGTACTTTACATCCATGCTAGGAACCACCTGTAAATGTTTAAGAATTATGTATGTACTATTTCAAGGTGGTTTTAAAAAAGTTTTATTTAATTGTTTTTTGTTGTCGGCAGGAGTCCTGATGTAAAGTCCATTGTAGGTGAACTGACAGTACATGTTCTGCACACTCGCAGTTAGAAGCTTGGCCCCTGGAATCCTCTCCCTCCTCCAGGCAGAGGGCAATGGGACCACTTGGGCAGGGTGCCTTTCCAGTTTTTAAACAGTTAAATTTCTTGGTACTAAGTTCTGGGTATTTGTACTATAGGCTGACAAGTTCTATTTAAGAAAACCAGTATCATTTTGATATATTATGATGTGAGTTACTTGAGTTTGTGCAATGAATTCTTCACAAGAAAGCAACACCCCAGACCAGAAGGCCCTCAACAATTTTTCTCTACATGAGCAAAAAGCAGATAGTGTGGTAGCTCAGACTTACCAGGCATTGTGATGCATCTCAGGTTAGGGAAGATAAACCCCAGGTGCACTACCCTTGTTTCAAAAAGCAAGATTCTCAAAAATGGGGGTTTTCCTTCCTTTCTTATTGTGGCTACTGAAAAAGCACTCTCCTCACTGAGCTGCCTCGGTGCTTTCGACCCATCTGCCTAAGCCTGCCCCCGACCTGCCCTCCCTGGATGGTCGCATGAATTTTAAAGGAAACAGTACGAGCTGTTCTGCCACAGCACGTTTCCCTAGTGTGGAAGGAGGCACATGCCTCCAGGGGGAGGCCGATTAGGAGGCGCAGGATGGAAACTCCTCAGAAAAGCAGAAAGCCTCCGGCTGGGCAGCTGTGTTCGCAGCTGGAACCCTCGTAGGCCTTATGACAGCAGCCACACG